TCTAAAGTAATTGTCGTATAATACAAGTCTTCTAATAGAATGCTTATCAATTGTAATTTGCAGTAAGTATAGTGAAGTAAATTTTCATGTTTTGTATTCCTAGTATAACAGATCCGAACGAAAGAGCGTCGCTTGAATCCCAAATTCTCGAATTTGGTCAAACTCCAAAACAACTCTTCACCAGCCCCCATCCGAGGCGAAGTGTGAGTTATTTCATAAATCGTTTCAGTGATCGTCTTTTCTTAAATATATGTTGGTCCGAATGAGAGCTCCACTCCGGGGTGATTGTTCTCGACATACGAGCATCTCTCATCAAAACATTGTATGTTTTTCAGGGTGCTAGGATTTCAACGTCAGTACCTCAAACTATCGATCTTTTAAATGGAGTCAGTAGTTTGGACATGCGAAAGTTCGAACCCTTTTTAATGGAAGATGTGGATCAGGAAGGTGCGACTAATATTACTAGAGAATGTTTTAACTTCTGCTATGATTCTATCATTTGTCATCCACAAAGATTTCACAAGCGTCTACCTTTGGGACTTTATTTCCCCGCATCTCAATATTTGCTTCATCATTTCAGTCACTGTCACGGACACAAATGTCAGCTTGGATGAACAGCCCGGGTCGCCTCACTGGAGCATGTTTGAGAAACTGCAAAACGACTCAAGTCATCGCTTGCATAAAGAGTAAGCTTGACAAGAAAGATTTTTTAATCGTTTTTGACGTAAAAGCGTACACTTTAAAAATAAAATGATTGCTCAAGATATTCAGGATTGAAATGAAATTTTAAACCACGTTGAACTTAACATATTTACTTTTCAAACGGGAATCTATTTTATCTTCTTTTTTTAATCGCTTCGTTGAAATCTTTAAAACACAAACTATAAACTACTTGTTTTAAAAATACAACTTACGTCTCCTTTCGCAGCTAAAGTATGTTTAATAATGTTGTTTACTATTTAATAGCAACTGTGTAATCTAAATTTAGAAATTCTAACGCTCGTATGGAAATGAAATTAAATAATTTTGTCCTGAGCCGGCACAAAAGGTTGGTTTAAATGATTTTTAAAATCACTAAAATATATCGGTAATCATTGTACTTGTAAACGCTACACAGTAAAACTGGATTAACTTCAAAAGCCGTAAAAAAACCTTAATTTTTTATCTTGAAGGCAGAATATTTCCCTCGTGAAAGTATACTGACCATTCCTGATATTTTTTTAGTTGTGTGACTTCGGTCCGTCTGTCACTTGATGGAAAAAGCGTTTTTTCTGTTTCCCAAGGTAAACAAGAAAATTATACACCAGCTTTTGATCTTTCTCGTGGCTGGAGCCCTGACAATTTGCGAGACTCGTACAACACAATATACGTCGGTTTACCCACACCAATTCTGTTAACCGAAATTGCATGATTCATTGATGTGTCTTCAATTTCAGATACCCAATTAAAAATGTTCAGCCTAAACGACAAGCAACAAGTACGAAGTATCAACCTTTCCTCTATGGTATGTGTGCATGCTGTCTTGATCAACTAGTTTATTATCCATGTACCATATTCTCATTTCCTATGGCCCTTAGAATAGTGTAGTCACGCATATAGTGTCACCAACTACACTCGGTTAACCACTCGATAGTCTTTCAAATTTCAATTGTTGTATGTATTTTCTCTTGGCAGGCTTTATCGTCCTGTGCTATTATGCCTGACTCAAAGACGATTGTTGTTGGATCATGGGACAACAATATGTAAGAAGATAAGATTGAAAACACTCATATTCATTGTGTACTTGTAATTCTTATGTTTATTCAACGGAAATATTGTAGTTCACCCGCAGGATATGACCACCCTGTCGCCACCAGTTAATATTGTATATTCTGTTCTTTCATTTTCAGCTATATTTATTCCGTTGAATATGGTAGAGTGACGGACACAGTTCGTGGCCACGACGATGCAAGTACGTTTAACCCCCCCCCAGAATAGTGTTTTAACGGGAGGTTAGGAAACATTTTCAGGGGGGTCATTTCGGAATAAAGAATAAACAACTAGCGCCTAAAGGTAGAAACTTCCTCTAAAACGTAGCTGGTGTATAATAATGGTATCCCCTGGATAATAATAGTATCCCTCGTATCCTTAGATAACTCAGCTACCCCCTCTTATCCAACTAATGTCTCCCTCCACAGTTTCATGTTTATGTTGGAACGATGGTATACTGGTCACCGCTTCATGGGACTCCACTGTTAAGGTAGCTCTATTACCTCTAAAGAATAAAAACAGTACGGTGATTATTCTTTGTCGGGAGTGTTTTTAATTTGTATGTCTCTTATCATAGGTGTGGAAATTTGTGCCAGAATGTGGAGGGAAAAAGGCATCTTCGCCTGAACTTTTAGTACGTTTCTTTCCTTTCTAACACTTCCTAAAGAATGCACTTGATCAGAGTGGAACTAGCTTCGGTACATGAGTCGCCTTTCCCAATGTTGTCCTTATGTATTTTTTTTTTCTTTTGGAATTTTAGACAGAACTTGATCACGATACTGAGGTAAGTGTTGCACTCATTTCACACTCTTCTTTAGTATTTCAACTCTTTAAAACTTTCCCCAAATTTTTTCTAAGAAAATCCTTTTTGTCTCAGGTCAACTCTGTAGATCTTCATCCAACGAATACGCTGGTGGTTACCGGGACAACCGATGGTAAACACTCTCGAATTTGTCCCTCGGAAGAATTTCAGGGAAAGGCCGTAATAATATATTTAATTTTTTTATTGTGTCGTTTAGGCCACGTATTGCTGTGGAACATTGATAAACGTATCATCATTAATGAACACGAAGTTCACGGAAGTACAGTCCATACGGTGGCTTTTAGTCCTGGTAAGCTTCGTTTATTTCGCATGTTTTAGATTTCGCATGTTTTAGATAATCTCAAAGCTTATTCGGAGTTGTTTATAATTATGTTGTTTTTTATAATTATTCACAGATGGTCAGCGGATATTGTCTTGCGGCGCAGACCAATGCATCCGCGTCCTTGACGTGCAGACTGGAACCGAGTTATATTTGAAAGATCTTGATGACGAAATAAGGTATGACGTGGAATGTTTGACTCGTCGTAATGCCTCGGTGCGTCTTGTCCCGCAGAGTAGATAAATGCAGAGAATTTACTTCGAACTTAGTCCTGCCATTTGATTCAGATGCGCGGTCTGGGATGGTCAACTTGTCATGGCAGGGGGAAGCTCTGGTCAGTTGCACATCTGGAATTTGTTAAACGACCAGGAAGTGCAGAGAGTTGAAGGACATCAAGGTTAGCTTGCAACGCTGTTACTCGCCTACCTCCGTTTTCTGAATTCATTGTCATCATTCAATAGTATTTTAAGTTCCATTTCAAACGACGCATAACTTTTTAAATTTTAGGTCCCATTCGTTGCGTGGATGTCTCGCGGGACGGGCTGACTGTCGCGACCGGAGGGGAAGATAATCAGGTTATATTGTGGAAGATAGCTGTTTGAATATTAGATCAGTCGTTGGACAGAGCAATCACAAGCAAGGGCGTCTCGCGTGGAGAGCGTCTCTTCTGTGAACTCTGAAATAACCAATATATTCGAGCCATTACCTCCTTAAGATCAACCGTATATATCTAGATTAGAGAATGTTTTCCGCGGAAATCTAAACAAACATTCGTTTGTCTAAAAACGCCTAACAAAAGGGGAGATCAAGTCACTGAAAATTTGGGAAAAAACACAGGCTGAATGAGAAAGCGTTATAACACACAACGAAGAAGATATTGGCTTCTTACACCGCTTGTAAATAGCAATGGTACTTCCTCATTGAACGGTCTAGCACAATTTGTCTATGAGACAAATACGTAGGATTGACGTAGGGACTTTGTAAACAAGTTGTGGCAAGCTTGTCATTCTGTCAACAAGGTTGATATCGTCACAACCATAGAAACATTAGACAGCATAAGTCGGCCTTTTTTCGTGTGTGTGATAGTTGAGATATACAAACGACGGTGGTATTTTTCACTACGGGTATCACTGGGAAAAATTAAATTTTATAGAGAAATATTTCACATGACAAATATGTAGTGAAAATATAGAGATATTGTAAACTGTATTGCCTGTTGTACGAAGTCCGTTTAGCTTCAACGTTGCAAGTGAAAAGGAGATGATGGTGAGTTTCACTTGAACTTGCTGCTCTGAGCCTAACCATCATATGAACCAATCTTGCTTCGTACACCAGCTATATAGATGCACAAATTATTTACATTTAAAATTAACATGAATATTAATGATATTAAATTTGTATATAGGTGACGCATATATTTATTTATTTACAATAAATTTTTATTCCTGGGTTGAGCGTGATGGTAAAAAGTAAAGTGACCGTGACGTCATTAAAATAGACTTTTTGTTGTATTACTTGTAAATTGATTTTAAGCACGCTTTAATATGACAGTGTTAATGTGTTATTGGTGAAGATCTTAGATAAAAGATATCATGTCGTACGTAAAGCCTTGACAGGTTCCTTTTCCGGTTCTCTACAGCATTTTGTATGTGCGGGGTATTTCTCACACGAAATAATATAGAAGCGGAATTTGCCCCATATTCACCCTTTACGCTTGACCGGTTAAATTTGCATGGTACATTGTGCCGCGGCTTGTGCTCATTAGTCGACGTGGCAAATGCCCGTCGTTTCGTTTAGATATCTCGCTATTGTTGCACAAACACCATTTCAACATCATGCGTTTATATTTAACAATAGCAAAATAAAGAAAGTATCGTATTTATATGTTTTTTAACTTTTCTCCAAAAAAAAATTTGCTGAAACGGCAACTTGAGCAAAACGTTGCGCGATTTGATTGGGTAAAATCACTAGTTTCAGACCTCGCTGGCTGAAACGCGGTCAGGTTCAGATCCACGGGAACTTGAAAATAATAAGTTTATATTCAGCATGGCGTCGAATTGTTGTGCGAGGAGTTATTTGCTGGCGATTTTTGTCCTGTTATCCCAAATTATGCTAAGTAAATGTGGTCCTGTACCCAATGGAACCAATCCTAGAAATGCTGAAGGACAGTTGAACGCAGCTCAGGGTAAGGTGAACTTTTTAAGAACGGTCTATATCAGGCAACTAGCAACTAGGGATCTCGCGGTGGAGTGATTTATAAATAATATTACACTCAAGTGATCCTTTTGCTTGCTGACCTTTTACGCTTTTGACGCGTATGGCAATACGCACTCGCACAGTTTTAAGGCGCTTCAAAGTTTATGCCCAAAGCACTGCAAGTGCAGGTTTCATAAACCATCTCTCAAATTCTCCTCTATTTTGTGATGATGTGTATAATATATGTAAAGTCAATTTGCTACACCTGACTAAGTTAGTGATGAATAGAATCATAGGACGATGCTTTCTCACCTTTCTGGTATCATTTGTTTGTGGTATTAACCATTTCAGGCGTTTGTTGTATCAGGAAAGATTTTATTAGCAGATTTTGTTCTTATAAAGCACTTAAAAACACACATTAAGAACTAAAGTTTATTTTTATACCTATAATGAATGTATTAAAATAAGCCCTGCTACACAATGCCCGAAAATGTTTGGATCTAATTTGTGAAAATAGAAAACCTATTTTCAGCAGGATATTTAACTTGCTACTTGTCAGAGCTTCAATATTCATTCCAAGCTCTATTATAAAGTTTTCATAGCATTTGAAGGTTCACATACTCTTTGAAAAATTATATATTCACATTCAGTTTTTCTAAATTAAACTTTGTTCGCAAAAACCAGTGTCAAGTACTGTCAAGGGATATGCAATAGCTCTGATGTGGCAGACGAAGTTGAGGAATTCCATGATATATCAAAGTTGTTTTAGTCTACTGTTGACAATGACATTCAAGGAGATCTGCCATAACTCTCGATTTCTTTATCCCATTAAATTATCCTCCATATGATCATTAGTTAATCCCACAAAATTGCCTTTTTGAAACATATGCTTTGTTCAATAGCCACTCCAACAAAGCCACGTGTGCTTCATAAAATAAAGGATAAAGAAGGAATAACTTATAAATTAAAAAATGATGAACGGTGTAAAGAAGATATTGAAGATCTCTGTGCAAAAGAATCGCAAGCTGGAGGGAATTATGACCTGCTCTTGTGTTTGCAAAATCAAATTAAGGTATTTTGGAGAATAAAGGGACCTATAGTGGTGGAAATTATATTAATATGTTGCATCTTTTGGTGTATCATATATTCATATGTATAAATAAATATAAAATTTTCTATGTTGTTTTTAAGGACGATGAGTTATCCGACGAATGTCATCAGGTACTGCACAATGTTTAATCAGTGACAAAAAGTGTTTTATACTAGAAACAAATTCACAACATATTTAGCGCTATTCAAATGATCTTTGTATGTAGGACTAATCTTATCCAATTATTTATTGATGCTTATTTTTTAGGCAATATGGGAGTACAAGAGCAAGCTTATTGAAAACCCTGTCTTTGAAACACCTGCAATTGAAATTTGTAAAGATGATTGGCAACAAGTTAGTTTGATTCTGAAAAAAGATTAGGGTGAAAATTTGTAAAGAGGATAGGGGGGGGGCTATAACCAGAATCTCTATTATATTAAATGTCCTGTACTTTCTGATTGAGGACGTTGTTGAACTCTTCATCTTTGACTCAATGTAAAACGTTTTGTTTCAGATTGATGAATGCAAAGTACTACAGCCAAAGCATGGAGAACTAGTTCCGTGTTTAGTTGAAAACAAAAATGCCATCAAGAATGCAAGATGTAAACATGTTATCAATAAACTGGCTCAAATACTTTTCAGTGACTACAGATTGTTGAAGAATTTCTATAAGGATTGCGCAGCTGATGTGAAAAAGTTTAAATGTGGTAGACAGGATGCGGAGGAAGAGGGCGTAAGTCGTGCTCTTTTAGACTTTGTGATTGTTTTGGTAAAAATTAATGTTTTTCTCCTCATATCTCCAGGATCTACATACGCAAGGTTCAACACTTGAATGTCTTGAAGACAACGAGGGCAACCTGACAGATTCATGTCGTCATAAAGTCCTCCGCGTGGCTGAACTTCAGAGCAAGGACTACCACATGAACAGGGCACTTTACTTTGCTTGTAGAAATGATAGAGAGCGCTTCTGTGCCAATGTTGAAGCAGGCAATGGCAGAGTCTATGCTTGTTTAATGAAAAAGAAATTCCATGCTGAGATGTCAAATGAGGTAAGTTCAGCTGTTGATGTGAGAGCTGGGGAACCACCATATGTGGTAAAAGAGGTCTGTTTCACTCATCAATTCTGACTATGAGCTCTTTGGATAATGGAAAATGGGCAGTGATCTCAAAAAATGAATAAAAAAAATTGATCATATTGCTGTTACTCTAATGCAATTCTCAATTTTGCTTTTTTATCATTGTCTCAAGTGCCTAACTCATCATAATTTAGCATTCTTTTTGTTTAAATTAAACTGTTCTTGCTTTCTCTATTGCCCACCCCAGTGTGACGCAATTTCATTTTCCAATTTAGTGTCGACAAAAGTTAGCAACAAAGCAAAAAGTTGAATCAAAGGACTACAAGGTAGACCACACCCATGCCCTCCCCCTGCCCATATCACCAAAGCCTGTGGTTTGCAAATGGTCAAAACTTGTTCATGTGTGTCGGTCATATTTTGAAAGTTTTAAGACATGTCTTGTGACCATTTCAGGCAAATTTTCCACTGCTTCAAAGTTGCGAGAAAGAGATTCAGCGCCATAGTTGTCAACCGAAGGGTGGTTCACCCGCAGCCCTAGCGCATGTCCTGCTTTGCTTGGAGGACGCGATTAATAACGGTCAGTTCAATGTACACGGCCAAAAATTGATCAGGTTGTCATCATCATCATCATCAGGAGTGTGCAATGTTGTGCTGCACCCTGTGAACAGTATTGTTAACAATGTTGTTGAAGCTTGTTGAATCATCAATGTTGTTGCAATCACGAATGACGATGCAATGTTGTTGTAACAAGTTGCATCAACACTGATGATTCAACAAGCTTCAATAACATTGTTAACAATACTGTTCACAGGGTGCAGCACAAAATTGTTCAATCCTTTTTTTAACAACTTCATCAACATGATGATTTTTACGCGTGTAGTTATGTGATATTTATCATAGCAATCTCCCAGCGAGAATGACGAATTTAATGAGGTGTTCCCACAGGTGCAACGGTCAGCGGATCATGTCAACAGCACATGAAGGAACTTCAAGAAGAGTTGATGGAAGATTACTCCATCAACCCAGCCATTGTTGCCAAGTGCGACACAGAGATCAGAACATACTGTGGTAAAGTTGAAAAAGGAGGAAAAACCCTGGATTGTTTGATGGAAAAGGCCATGGAAAAGGAAGGGAAGGACAATAAAATAGAGTTTAGCGACAAATGTTACGATGCGGTATGTGCTGAGCTTTAGTTTTTGAGCTTTACGTTTTTTCCCTAGACACTCTGAGTTTGTTAGAATAGAGGCGCTCGCATTGCTTAAGAAAGATCAACTCGAGTAATGCAGCAAGGTGCACGTACATCATGGTCTGAGGACCGTACGTAGTTCATCTCCCTCCTTTGGCTGTTAAAACGAGAGTTTATACGGCGTGGCACTTCATACATGTATATCCACGCTTCTCTTTCGTCAGTGCGTAACTCTTCGTGCAAAGCGCGACCGATTTTTTTCTTTGGAGAACTTGTATTTTTATGCTTGCCTTGGTCGTGGTCAAATTTAAGATGGCAGATATAGTTCATTGTTCAGCATTGACATACATATGACGAGCAGGCAGTCCAAGTAATATATATATATATATATATATATATATATATATATATATATATATATATATATATATATATATATATATAGATATATAGATATATAGATATATAGATATACATATAGATATAGATATGTCAATTGTGTTCAGTACCCTTTGGAAATTGGAGTACAGAATAAGTATACACCTTTACCGTGTCCATAATGCAGATCATAAAACTTTCATCATCTCTTCCGTGACACCTAGATCAGCAATCTGTTGAAGGAAACTGGTGCGGGAGGGGACTTCAAAGTGGATGCAACACTACGTACCCAATGCCAGTCAGCGGCGAATAAGCTGTGTCGCGATGTGAAAAATGATATGGGGTAAGTTTGTGAGATCCTAAGTTGTGTGTAGGTCGAACGATGCACAACCGAATATGAAGTGGTTCTGAGGTTTGTGAATATTTCACGACAGCGTGTTATCCTGTCTCATGGAGAATATCGAGCACAAGGATTTGGGAGGATCATGTCGAGAGAGTCTTCTTCATTTGCAGTTTTTCCTTGCCAGAGATTTTCAGTAAGTTTGAAATGCATACAATCCCTTGTTCACCCTAATTCACTCATGTTTACCATTATTCACCCTGTTTACCTCTATTTACGTCCTGTTTATCCTTGTTCAACTTATATCACCTCTACCATTGCTTATCCAAACTTACCCTTATCTGCCTTTGTTTATCCTTATTTATACTTCAGTTCAACCCATACAACACCACAGTCTACCCATACTTACCTCTATCTACCCATACCTACCCTTATCTGCCCCTTTTTTATCTTTATTTTAGATTGGATGAATCATTATATCGTGCCTGCAAAGATGATGCGAAAAATCTTTGTGAAAATGAAGAAATCGGTCACCCAGATAAAGACACCGCCCCACAAGGGATGACCTTGGCTTGTCTCTATCGTCATATTCTACCAAACATGAACCCAGACCCGAGTAAAAAGGTTTGTATGGTGCATTAAATTTACAAGCTCTTATAACAAGTATCAAAATCTCAGTATCAAAGTATCGAAATCTCTCTCAAAACCTTTTCTCTGAAGAAAATTAGTAACAACTGGTGCAATTCTCGCTAGAAAGAACTCCTTTTTCTAGTGAATACTTTATTTTTCAATTCCTGAGATCCTGTGAGAGCCCACTTTCTTTATTCAAGTGTTACCACTTAGCCACAAAAAAGGGCCTGAATTGTTTTCTTTCGAGATCCAGAGAGATCCGGCACTTGTCTTCCTGGTGCGAAACGCCGCGAACAAAACCCCGCCAACAACTTTATCCCATCAACAAGGCATCTAAAGTATCTCTTGATCGTTTTATCAGGTCAGCAAGCAGTGCGTGGCTGAAGTGATGAGAACAATGCACCAGAGGGCAACTGATGTGAGATTGATGCCCCACATACAACATAGTTGTATCTCTGATCTTAGTAAATATTGTGGTGAAAAAATAGAAGCGGGAGAGGTGAGATACTCGTACATCTGGGGTTGGGGGACACCAGGGTGTGAGGTGGAGGTTCACCAGGGTCTGAGGGGGGTACACCAGGGTGTGAGGTGGGGGGACACCAGGGTGTGAGGTGGGGGACACCAGGGTGTGAGGTGGGAGACACCAGGGTGTGAGGTGGGAGAACACAGGGTGTGAGGTGGGGGGGACACCTATGGAATTTGGCCACCAGAAAAGTTTAATTTATCCCAGTTCCCCGGATTGCAAATGATTGCATTTTGTACAGCTTTGAAATTAACTCTGATAAGTCCCTCAAATGTTCTAATATACATGTGTCTTAATCTCTTCCGGGGGGTGTGATTTTAAGAGGAAGGGCGAGTAATTAAGCCATGGTTTTAAAGTTACTCATTTTTTTTTTCAGGAAATCAAATGTTTGCAAGATAATTATGATCAGCTGCAATCAAAATGTCAGAAGAGTATAGGGGAGTTCACAGAAGAAGAAAGCGAGGTACTGTATGCCGGTTGTATAGCTAATTGTATATAGTTAGCTAGCTATCACCATGGTTGGTTATATATTTATTTAACGGTAACATATAGTAGTGTGTGCTTATCATCAATCTCCTGTTCTTTATATTTCGCAGGACATCGATCTTGACAAAGTTATGGTGAAGCATTGCTCTGAGATGGTTAAGGAATTTTGCTCGGTAATGATTCAACCTTGAATGATTTTGTGCAGCAGATGACGTTGGTAGCCTAAAAAACAGGCTGGCTTCTGATGTCTCGCTTTTCTAACCCGCGAGCCAGGCCGAGCAATAGTTTCATCTTCTCAGTTCTGTGGCCATCCGGTTTACGAATTTTGCTCAACGAATGAAGGGAGCTATTGAGTAATATTCGTTCATCTTTTCTTCATGTATTTGACTAGGACTTACTCAAAAAGAACGACGTTGACGGGATACTACCGTGTCTGTACAACAATAAATACGACCATCGAATGGACAAAAAGTGCCGCGCTGAACTCGACCATCGGGAACTGGTAAGTTACAGCACGTGTAGTAAACAGTGATCTTTGAATGTACTGGAGTGACAACTCTAGTCATTCGAAGGTTACATTCAGACTGAGTGCTTGTTATTTCCACACCTGCTTTCATTGAATACGCTGTCAAGGTGATCGTATCTGTGGACAAAATCGAATTCATTGTATCTTCCTAATTCATTTAAGATCGAGCTGAAAGATTATCAATTTTCCTCGAAATTCAAAAAGGCGTGTAGAAAAGACGTGCAAACTCACTGTATTAATTCAAAAAGCAAGTAAGTCGAGCCGTTCGCGCTCCTCAACCACCAACAATATTTGATTTACGTGCAAGCAAACCGAAGGAAATGCCACACCGAATCTCTAAGTGATGCCTTTGTGTTTGTTCGTTGCAGACCTGATGTTATCGCGTGTTTAAGCGGCGAGGTTCGCAAAGCTGTTATCGGTGATGCAGATCACAAGATTTCCCAAGAATGTAGGGAGCAATTAACTATTGAGAAACTTCGTCAGGTGTGCAACGTTTGTCCTCTCTCTTTCAGCCAAGCTTCCAAAAGAGTTATTTTATGCATCCTGTCCGTACATTAAGAAGCTGAATTCATCAATTTCGCGCCAATTTTGAGTCGTTTGCTGACAAAACTCGTAGTCTTTGAGCTTTTGACTACGAGATTCATCAACAAAATCGTACCCAAAGGCTACGAATTTTTGTAGTCACAGCTGTCAGCTGAAGCTCCCTATTGGTGAGCTCGCTGCTTATCAAATGTATTCTCTGTTTCCATTTTCTGTTAGGCTGAAGACATCCAATTCGACCCGAAACTCTACGGTGCTTGTGCAGAAGATGTGAAAAAGCACTGCGCTCACGTGCACAAAGATGGCCCGGCTGCAGTAAGTCAGTAATAGATATTAGGCACGTAGGGGTGCAGGAGGGTACCCCTGACCTCGTGCTTTTTAAGATGGGGGGGGGCGGTAAAGCCCCTGGCCACAACAAAATTATTTGTATCTAAAAAGATAGCATTAGCTGCAGTTGGAAATTTTGTTCGGCATTTACATAAAACATTTTTCAACTGAGAGGAAATTTTTTTGTCCGTGATGAAAAATGGTAAAACTGTAATTTGGCGATTTGCTTTGTTTTTTAGGTTTTAGAGTGTTTGAAACAAGCAGAGGGCGACTTATCTGATGGATGTTCCAGAAAAATTTTCGAGCGAGAGGTACTGTACATTTAACCGTAAGCAATTATCACGTCGTCACTTGGATTAATGTCGATCAAGGTTAGGGATTTTTTCGAGACCTAATTTATGTACTTATTGACGTGTTTATTAGAAAGAGGAAGTGGCCAATGCAAATCTTGATGTTCGCCTTTTCAAAATCTGTAAAAGAATGATCAAGGTATGGTGTTAATACGGGCTGGGTGCATGGGCCTCATAATTTCGTGTTGAGCGGGCTGTTGCGGGTTGGAGAAGGGGGGGCGGAGCATCTGCATTTTACAAACAGAAGGGGGGGGGGAACCGCATTATACAAACAGTTTGATTAAGTAACTTGGCTTCCGTTATGGCGGAAGATATTCTTCCCCCATATCGAGTTTGAAATTCAAAAATTCTGTTGCATTTCTGTTTAGAAATATTGCGAAAATGTTAATCCAAACAAAGTCCTCAACTGTCTGAAGAAACACAAACGTGAAATGGCCGCAGAGGACGAGCAAGAGTACGTCTTGACCATTCGTAGTTTTGTTTTTCTCGATAATGAAACTTTATGTAGATAACTGCAAACATATGTCCACCTCTTTACTCTAGATGCCGCGATCTTGTGTTTACTCGACAGAAGAACGCTTTGAAAGGTAAATAAGGCTGCGCTCAAACGCTAGTTCCTATAATCCAAACTGTTCGTAAGCCATGCTGAAGCAGAGTGCCCCTGTTGAGCACTATACCCCTGCAGGTAGCGCCCGAACCGTGACCAATATTATTTGGAAGCGTCGTATATCCAACCTACGCAGCAGAAAAATTGACCGGAAACCAGGCTTGAGATAGTGATAACGTACTGTGTGTTCTGATGTTTTCATACCCATCATCTAGATATTGCACTTATGCCTGGTCTGGAAAAGGCGTGTCGTCGTGACATCAGCAAGTTCTGTGAGCACGTGACCAATAATGATCAAGTGATTCCATGCTTGAAGAAAAATATCGAGGTCAGTCGGAAGTCTTCAGTCTCGTTTACACTTGCGATTTTTACTGCGATTTTCTTCTTTTGATAGATGTGAACGAGTAATTAGTTACGAATGCTCTGATGTATAAGAGCTCTTATTTGAACATCAGTAACTAATTCACTCATTCACATCTATCAAAAGAAAAAAATCGCAACGAAAATTGCAATTGTTAAACGAGCCTTTTTTAAGTGTTGTTAGGGAAAGAAAATGTGAGGGAACTTATAACATTGCTTCGACTTAGGATTTATCTGGAGATTGTGAAGAATTTGTTGTGGATTTGGAGAAAGAAGCGGCATTAGACTATCGCTTGAATCCAATTCTCGCTAAAGCCTGTGGCCAGGAGGTTTGTTCACAGAATAATAAACTGATCTCACATAGCTCGTTAAATTCAGTTGAATTATAACACGTGACATTATTGTGACCAATCCGGATGAACCATTTCTGACCGCGCACTGTTAATCAAAGCTGGACAGCTCTGTCAAAATACATGATTATGTGCAAAACATACAGACTCGACTCTCACTTTGATGTGTTTTTGTTCCCTTAGATCGACAAGTATTGCCATGAGATTGATCCTGGTCATGGTGAAGTTATGGAATGCTTAAAAGAACATTACAAAAAGATCGAAAACGAAAAATGTCGAGCTGTGAGTGACAATCATGATCAAAGGCTGCGATCACATTGTACCCACTAGATATCCACTTGATAAAAAATAGATTTCCATTTTGAACATATCCGCCGTTTAAACACCTTTCGAACAACTGGACCCCGAACACACATTTTATCCTCTTCACAGCTCTCTTTTATTACAAGTACCCAGGGCTTTTTCAAACCGCGCGTTTTTCTCACGTCACAGGAAATAAAGGAGGCGCTTATTGAGGAACGAACTGACATCATGGCCGACCCAGTTCTCCACGAGGCTTGTGCAAGCTCGGTCTCAAAACACTGCGATAGTGTGAATCATGGCAGAGGGCGAAGTAAGCGTTTTTGTAGCGTTTTCTTTTTCTCAAGTTTTAATCTCTTCCCATTTCTCTGAATTAAAGCTTCATTACGTCATTAACGAGGCTTGTAGTACTCCAGTTATATGGAGAGATCTTGAGGTTTTCTTCAGTCAGTAAGTGCTTTATATATCTGGATTCCGATCGGGAGTTTTTTTAATCAATCACCAAGAATTGCTGAGTGCACGTTCTGGATTCATCACTGAGAGTGTGTTCGCAGCCAAATCGGTAAATCACTGTGCCGTATTGTGTTTATTATAGTTCTACAATGTCTGATGCATGCGTTGGAGAGTGGTAAGAAACTAAGCAAGGAATGTCGTGGTGTTTTGAAATCAGAAAAGAAATGTGGACAGGCTTTGGGGTAAGGTTTTCATTATTCTTAACTTACTGTTAAGACAAACCCTCATCGATCGATGCATGCATGTGTGCCATTTTGAAAGACATATTTACGTTGTGCCATCCGTGACTGCTTGTTTCGTCAACAAACTAGAGAAGATTTGTTTTTACCAAGCTCTGGTAACTCAGTCTTAATACACAGAAAAAGCATTAAATCCTCACCCAATACTTTTGGCCGTTCACTCATACAATGCTTGCCTTCTCTTTTCTTTATTCCCATTGTTTTCTCATTTAATTTTCACTGCATTCCTGCAAATAACTGGTGTCTCTTCCAATATCTCCCGTCTAGGTCGCACATCCCGAGTCTCTGACAGATCTTGCCTCGGTCTTAAGTAACTCACCGCGCAAAAATTACTTCTTCATCGTCTTCTCGTGTGCGCTCGCAATCATTTTCATCGGTGGTTTAATTTCTGGACGTTTGACGAAACGTATCACGCGCGAGGCGAAAAACCGCTGAGATATTTGTACACTGTTCGCGGACAACGAAAACGACATACGCTCAAGGTTATCAAAAAACAATATTACTTGACGTATTTACCATGTAGCTTAGAGATAGGACGAACTAGGAAATATTGTTACAGAAACGTTGCTTTCTAATCATATTTCTCAAACGCGGGTAAACAAGCTAGGAATCTGTGTTTCTTAATCTGTGTCTTTTTAAACAAGCTAGGAATCTGTGTTTCTTAATCGTACTTTCAAGAAAAACAAAAAAATAATTCCTAGCTGTGTTTTTTAGTTCAACTAAAGAACACGGTTTCCTGATGAAATAACTAGGAATTTTGAACTTTTAAGAGACGTTGGAATGTAAATTGCAAAACATTAGCCTTTTAATTCGTTAGCAACCCAGTGCTTGTAATTGTGCATACAATCCAGTGCTTGTCATCGTACAGGCATTTTAATTTATGAAAATGATAAGTTCATATTCTCCTGATATTTTGCGGAACGATTCATGCCTGTAATGGATCGAAAACGTCCTGGAAACATTGTTCCATAGCCGAATGAGCGTTTGAGAAATTGCGAAACATTTACCAGAACTATTTGTAACAGTGACTTCTCAAAAGTGCACAATTATCAAGAATTCTGACTGAGGGTGTAATGCTATAGAAGAAACACAAGAGAGTAATAGTCAAATTAGCGTTTATTTTGCACTAGCCACAACTTGCTACAACAAAACGTACACTTGTACAAATATTCGAAGTCCTGTTAATTGTTGCTTGTGCATAAACGGCCTATTATAATTATACTGTCTTGAGCTAGCTTGTTATAACTTATATGTGTGTTATATATTGTTAATACGTTATATGAATCAGACTACAGCAAACTAGAGTATGCATGGCTTCTAATGAAAACAGATGAAAGAATAGTTCTTGCAATTAATTTTCTGCCCTTTGGAAAAGCACGCGTCTTTTGGGGGAGCAATACATGCTTTTAATTGTCAAAAACAGTTTCCTCTTTGTGGCTAAGTTCCATCTATACTCTCCACCGTTTCGTTGTTAATAAATGGTGAAATTCCTTTCAAACAAATTACACTGATGAGTTTCTTTTTAAAAATGCGAATGGAGTGCTCGATCGTCTTCTTGAGTTGTGAGAGGCAGAAAGAGCATCGCTCCCGTTTTGCTGACGTGCCCTCACTCGGATAATCTTGAAGAAAAATTTCAGGAAACCTCTTCGGAATTCTGTATTGAACAGCGCGTAGATGAAGGGATTTAGGGCCGAGTTTACTGACGTGAGCAAGTAAATAAACGTGACGTCGACAAACTCAAATGCCAGCTTGTTATTCAGGCTCCATTTATAGAACTTCAGTGGTGCCCAGAAGGTGTAAAGGAGGATTATGAAGAAAGGTAACCAGCATACTATGAAAGCACCCACAACAATTGCGAGCGTTTTTCCCGCCTTAAACTCGCGAAGGAAATGAACCGTTGTCAGAGAGTTGCGTCTTCCAGTCACTGCCACTGTTTTTTTAGCTTGAGACAAAGCAATGCTGAAAACAAAACCTGGAAAAAGAGAGATGTAAGAGAAACGACATCAATAGCAGCTCTTGAATGTCTAACAGCTCGTGGAATATAACAATGCCTGACTATATAGAAATCTATGTGATTAGCTTCATGATATAGACTGCAATCTATGAGGAACTAAGTGACTTAGGTTGCATTGAATGTGTTCATCTTTCTTGAAGAGACATGGTCATGGTCGTAGTCGAAACAAAGACATTGATCCCAGAATACTTACCATAGGATACAAGAATGATAATTAATGGCAGAAAGAAACCCAACACTGTGACGACTGTATAATACACTCTGTCACCTTTTTGACACGAGAAAACCGTGAATATATGTTCTTGTCCAGGAAAAGTCCAATTGAGCATTCCCAAGAAAGCCATTAGGATGGAGCCGGCCCAAACCAGAGAGATGAGCAGACTCGCTTTCCTCTTCGTGATCATCTCGCGGTAGTGGAATGGGTACGAGATTGCGAGTGCTCGGTCGATGCTGATGAGGACTAAGTTCCAAATTGAAGCACAATTGCAAACGATATCTGCGATAATCCATGACGTACACAGCTCTATACCATGACACCATTTCTTATTGTGAATCATTTGGTCGATCTAGTAAACCATAAGGAATTCACTATCATTCGTGTTTACATAAACAATAGTGTCTTTGCATACCTTCCAACACCCTCAAAAACAGTTCTCTTTTTTCAGAATAGTTGTGTAGAGTGGATCAGTCCTAAATACCCGGGTAATTAACTATCTACAGGCTATTTGTTACATCAATTCGCTCGTTCACATGACGTCAGTCAAAAGAAGTTGAACCAACATGGTTTATCTGCTTCCCGATTAAAATGGGTCTGGAAAATGGACCTTGTGGCAGAGGGAATGAAGATTGGGGTCTCTGAACCCCAGCAATCAGAGAAGAACCCGGCTGTCTAACGATCCATCAATGATCAAGATGACAGAAAACGAACTGACCTTCAATGGGAGTGTCGTCATGCCAACCAGCACGTCACTGACTGCGAGTGAAATGACAAAATAATTCGTCACCGTCCTCAGCTTCTGGTATGTAGCGACCGTCCCAATGACGAGAAAATTGCCAAATAAAGTGAACGCCATCACGATGCTTAAAAACACCGCATGTGCGATCATCTCGCTTTCCGTTTCTTTCTCGCAAAGTCCACTTGAAATCGTGAAATTTCCGCTGCCATTTTTCATCTTTTTCTCTGGGTATTTTGGTTACAAACGGTAGCGATGTCTTGCCAGTTGCGAAGTCTTGTTGTACACAAAGTTTACGTCTGAAAAATGATGTTTAAAACCGTATAAGATTCTGAATGACAAACAATATATCCAATCTTCTAACAGTTCATAGTTCATACACAAAAGATCAGATTTCAAACGCTCCAAAATTGCTGTTGTTCGGTATAACCTGGATTAAACCTTAGCCGTCTTAAATTGGAGGTAATCTTTAATAACTGTTGGCTTGAAATCTGCAGTTTTTTTGCTTTTCAAACAAGTTGGACGCTATCCAGCTTTCGCTATTCTCTTGATTGCTGACAACTTACATTCAAATTTTCTAAAAGATTCTATATTGTAAAGATTGTGAACTCAGTTTTCTCTGCTATTTTCGTCTATCCGATTATCAGTGCAATGGCGGTAGATTGACTGAATATAAAGCTCTATTTAACGCTGCCCTGGACTTTTTATCAATGATTAAAAAGAGTTTTACGTCGATTAATTAGGCGAAAGTGTTACGGTATTAAATATGAATCGTGTGCGTAATTCTCAGTGCATTCAAGTCTGCCACGAAGGCACAAGCGTGTTTGCGGAAGGCACCGACTTTTTCAAAAGAAAAAATACTGTGCTTGCTGATGTTGCTATCCCCAGTCTCTAATATGCTAGTCAGCGTGGCGACACTGGTGGCGATTTGTATTATAAAGTGCCACTTTATGCCACTTACCTTTTAAACATTTGTTTCTGGAAAGAAATATTGATATTTTACTACGATATCGCCCGCAGGGAAAAGCGAATTAGATAGGAGACAATGTTTTTCGCTTATAGAAGGCGTTTAATAATTTAAATTTGTTTCAACCCCACTCGGAAAATGTCCATTTTCCCTAAAAATTTATAACACCTGGGTAATTGAATTTTGGACATAGGTAGATTTGACATACGATAACGTGATATTGAAAATGTAGATCAAAATTATTCGTAAAAATACTCAAATATATTAAACAAATTATCCTTAAAGTTTGTAGCGAAGTCAACCTACTATTTTGACACAAAAATACCATTTGTTGATATCAAAATATAAAGCCAAGGATACAATGGTTAGCGTTCATTCCTCGTCTTAACCGATCCGGTTTTAATATGCTTGCACCTAGTTGCAAGGTGTCTTTTTCGAGGTTACAATTGCAAAGCAATTGACACTCGCCTGCTTTTGATTTGGGTCAATTTGAGCTGAATTTTTTATGAGCTTTTTGACGATATTGATCAAGAGCCAACGTAATAGGCGGACAAGGGTCTTTGAAACAGCTGCTTCTCCTTGACGTGTGAAACAGCCAGAACATTGAATTAGATTTTTGCTTTGCTATCGCCGCCTTCCCAGCATCGCGTATGAAAAGTCGCGCATCAAATTAGGATTCTCAAAAAGTAAGAAAGAATCCTAAAAACAGCTGCCGGCAAATGGTGAACTAGGAATATGGAATTGTCATATAAACTATAAAAATCTTCGGCGTTTCCGAGTCACATACATATGCAATCAATAATATATGTTTATTTGTTTTAACTGTCCCATTTAGGGATTGAATTGGATTGAATTGCGTGATTTTTAATATCAAAAATCGACCGTAGAATGTTCACGAGTTAAAACGTAGTTGCTAACAGTATAACCTCCGACTGACTTGAGTGAAATCGTAGTTATTTAACTTATGTGCAACAAGTTATGTTGTACAGCAGGGTATAATCATGGACGAATAATACAGAAACTGTCTTTGTCTTCGCACACGCCTGGATTTGCGATGGGCTGTGTGCATGTTTCAAGTACACGCAGCAATTTTAGCCAACTGTAACCGTTTTTAACGGGGTAAGCATCAGGTCATGTTTTTGCCCAAACACACAAAGTATGAATTACGTTTTAAACTATTCAGACAGGGTTAGAATGGTACAAAAGTTACCTTTTCTTCTGTTTCTTCCCAGCTACTGACACAGTCTTCCTCGTCAATACAAAATGAGCTAATTAAAACAAGCGAAACACTAATGATGTTGTAAATCCCATTAATGATGAATCGAATTTGAATAAATTAAGTAGGCTGGCTATTTCAAAATTAATTTATTGGAGCATCACTTCCCCTTGAACTGAGAAACACATTATATTCGCATTAAAAACGTCTGTTTTTTAGTTTTGCGAGAAGGTTTTTCTCAGCAGTTCGCTAAGAACTTTTTAGGGCACGTAACTGTAGACTCAATTTACATGTATCTAGGCAATATGAAACCTATTCAAGTGCAATGCTATTAAAGAAAGCGATTATCTGAAACAATGTGTGAAATGCCTGTGAGAGATATCTAATGACAAGACAATGTACATAAACTAATAATATTTTTCAACATGTACGAGCACAGAATTTTGATTATCAATTTTTCTATGTGACCATCTCATTTTTTGCCTCGAGTTGTTGAAAACAAATCGTGGAATGCACGAAAAAACCCTGCTGTTTTTTGTACAATATATGATGAACTCTAGACTATGGATTAAGTAGTAAAAGAACAAGATTATATCATGGCTTAGTGATGAATGATATTAAAATAAGGATTATGAACTTGGAAGGTAAAGCCAAAGGGTGGGTAAAGGGAACGATCAAGAAGACATATTCAGACATTTAGAGACATTATAATTCTTACAACACGACGTATTCGAGGGATCACGCTCATCCATCAAATCTGAAAAAAATATGGCTACAATTTATAGCAATAATTTAAATCCTGTTTGCTTTACTTTCTTGCCCTAATAACTCATTGGGGGAGGATAGAATACTCTTTTAGCTTACACTTAACACCGAAATGATGGTGAAATTCGAAGATGTTCCGCTAAAACCGTTCGGAAAATGGAAGCGAAAGAAGACTTATGAAGCCGTTGAAGATGATTCAAGCTACGATGATGATGAAACTATGTATTCCTCTGACGGATACCTCTCTGTTGATTCTGGTGGAGACGAGGAAGAACTGAAAAGGAGAGAGTATACATATCGACGTGCAAGATGGTTTGTTTGCTATGGTTGGCGTTATTGGTGCCAAAGGTTTGTCAAAGAAAATTTAAAATCAAAGTTCTTTCAAAATGAATGATGCAGCATGATTTCATATTTCTCATGTTTTGGACGACAAACTATCCACAAAGCTGGAATTTTTCGCGGTGAATTCTCGCCACTAACCTTTGCTGCTCAATATTTAAGATGGGCAGCTAAAGTTTAATCAAGACATTGAAACCCGAACGTTATATATTGATATAACATTCAACTAGCCAAACTATTTTCGAACTGGCTCCAATTTTTTACATCCAGAATCCTCACAAGGGATAAGTAAAGTAAAGTCAAATCATGACTTTTAGTTTATGTTGCATGTAATAAGCTGTTTAGATGCCAGCTTGATGACTAAATGTCTACTGCTGTTTCTCAATTCTCAAGTTCATGGGAATATATGTAACCTCACATGAAGGCCTCAGAATGATAGTTTCATGTTACAGTAAGAATGCAGATAAATCATTAAGTGAGTGGTTAAGTAAGCCACCTTCATGTGCTATTCAAATAATTTTGATAGTTTTCAGTATGCCTTATGCAATGGGTCTGATGTAGTTTGGACATGCTCTAGTGCATGACATGCTCTAGTGTCCATGTCTGGTCATGTATGAAAAATGACTGCAAATGTTTGAATAAATTAACCATTAACTGCCAGTTGTTTTTGATTAGACTATGTTAAATTGATTTTCAGTATATTGCCAATAACATGTACGGCAGTATTTCTATTATAGGAGGAAGGTCAGGTTCAAACAATAATGTAATAATAGTTCAGTACAGCCCTGTCTGTTTTATATGCAATTTTAAATTGAATTTAAAAATGGAAATGGTTTATGACAAATTGTAGGATTTTGACAGTTTGAACAATGTGAATGATTCTGAGATTCCTCTCTTAGATGTTGCAGAAATCTCTGTGGAAGAGGCGACTTGAAAGAAAGAACAGTTCATATTGGGAAACAAGTATGGGTCTGCTCTGTACAAAATTCTCTGATCAAATCTTTGACTGGTCATCTTGTAATAATTGTGTAATTTTTGTTACAGTCCCCACATCAAGATTATCCAGCCAACGTTATTAGAAATCAGAAATACAGCATATTAACATTTATACCACTGGTAATTGCAATTATTTATCATTTCATGTTCTGTATTTTCATTATACTTAACTGTAATATCTCATCCAAGTTCCACCCAATGGTTCCCCAATTGCAATGTCCTACCCAACTTCCCCAGTGACCACACCCACAAGAGCCTCTAATTAGGCGCCCCTTATCTTCTTCCATGACCACACCCAACTTCAATTGATATTCCTATCCCATTTTCTTCAAAAACTATGCCTAACATTAGCCCCCCATTGAAATTCCTACCCCAACTTCTTCAAGACCACACCCAACATTAGCCCCAATTGATATTTCCTACCCCATCTTCTCCAATGACCACATCCAATATGAACACCCCTATTATATGGTATGGCACTGATCCTCTATCTATTAAGCCCTCTTAACTAATGCACTCTCTATCTATCTAGCCTTCTTAATCAATGTACTCATTTGCACTCATCAACATTTTCCCCTTATCCTTAGGTGTTGTTCAACCAGTTCAAATTTTTCCTCAATCTCTATTTCCTACTTGTGGCCTCATCCCAGTTCATTCCTGATTTAAGAATTGGCCATTTGTATACATATTGGGGTCCACTGGTATGTATTTTGTTGGAGAAATCATGATACAATGAGATGTGCCTAAAAATAAAGAACCACATTCATCCTCCACTTCTATCTAGGTCTTTGTTCTGGCAGTGACAATGTGTAGAGAGGCCTTTGATGATTTCATAAGATTCCTAAGAGACAAGGAAGTTAATTCCCAAGTCTACAAAAAGTTGACAAAGAAAGGTATAGTTAACTAGTCTACTTTATTCATCAAATGGATGTACATGTTTGGCCTAAAATTTCCGAAGAAAACTTCTAAAGTGATAGGTCGTTACGTACCTATATGAACAAGCTTTGCTATTGGTTGATGATAACAATAAAACACAATGAACTACAGAAATTGATTTCTAAAATCGTTACAAAAAGCCAATCACAAAACTCGTTCATATTAGGTACTTACTGAAAGTGATGTGCCATTATTTTAACAAACTCTGAAACCAGAGTTTTTCTTATACTATCGATTTATCTTTCAAGTTTTACTCCTAAAATAGTTAAGAAATTTTCTAAACTTCTTAGGAGTTGTTCCAGTGCCCAGTTCGAATATACGAGTATCTGATATTATCATAGTTGAGAAGGTATGCTCTTTCAGAGACCATTGCAATGCAGAATAGGACAAGAACTTGAAATCTGTTCAATTTTGTTTAGAATCAAAGAATTCCGGCTGATATGATTTTTCTAAGGACATCGGAAAAGAATGGTAAGAAATTCCTCCACGAGGACATGCGACCCATTACATTGTGCCAGTTATTTCACTATATATGTTTCTTCAAAGCTCTGCTCACGCCAGAGCCAGACAACATGGATCAAACAGCTTAGAACTCTTTCTTTCATTCCTACAGGTTCATGTTTCATAAGAACTGACCAGCTTGACGGTGAGACAGACTGGAAATTACGGATTGCTCTTCCTGCCTGCCAAAGCTTGCATTCCGACCATGTAAGAAAATAGATCTCGAACACTCTTCAAACTCTATCTTAAGACCCGTTTACACTTGCTAATTTCGCTACGATTTTATTTGCGATTTCTTCTTTTGATAGATGTGAACGAGTTAATTAGTTACTGATGTTCAAATAAGAGCTCTTATACATCAGAGCATTCGTAACTAATTACTCATTCACATCTATCAAAAGAAGAAAATCGCTCAAAAAATCGCAACAAAAATTGCAAGTGTAAATGGACCTTAAATAGCGATAATTCAGCAGGTCTAAGCTGATACAAGTAGATGCCACAGTATTGCATAACTTTGCTGGCCAAAAGTTTAAAAGCTTTGGATTCTTTTAAGGATTTATTCAGTATCAACGCCTTTATTCACGTCGAGAAACCGCAGAAAGACATTCATTCATTTGTTGGAACCTTGGTCAGAGTGAGTAAAAGTATGAGAAGGAACAACTGTCGGTTCGTTTCGTTTATTGATTCTTGTGTTTTTAACCTCAGAAAGTCGAAAGCGAAGGCGAAGATCCCGTGAACATCGAAAATACTCTGTGGGCCAATACTGTGGTAGCTACAGGTATTGCTCTCTATACATAACTGGAGCATTCTCGTATTGTCCGGTGACCTCAATCAGGCAGCTTATTTGTTTGACCCGAGTTTAACCTTCAAATCCTCCTTCGGTATCGTGTTCTAGGCACTGCTGTTGGAATCGTGGTATACACTGGTCGGGAAACTCGAAATGCTATGAACACCACCTCTCCATCGAGCAAGGTAAGTTTCATTTGCAAAGAGAATGAAGATCATAGAAAGATAGAGGAGTGTAGGAAGATGGAGGAAGATGGAGGAAGATGGAGGAAGATGGAGGAAGATGGAGGAAGATGTAGAAAGATCATAGGAAGATGGTTGTACTACAAATGCATCATCTTCCGCATGTTTCAGTGCAGCCCCACCCATCATATACATTAATCCATATATCCTGGATTGACATTGAACAGAAGCACAAATAATATTTGTTATTTAGGTCGGTTTACTGGATACAGAAGTGAATAATCTGACCAAAGTTCTATTTGTTGCTACTATGGTTCTCTCTCTTGTTTTGATAACAGTAAAGGTAAGTATTATAGGTTCCTGGTTGATAGGTTAGCTGGCTGGTATATATTGCTAAGATTCACGGCCACTACTTTTGTACGTTATTCTGTCCAATTCCAGACGTCTTTACTTATTTCAGGGTTTCGATGGTCCATGGTATCGCTACTTCTTCAGATTTATCTTGCTTTTTTCATATATAATCCCGCTCAGGTAGGCAAAATTATAAAAACAAGTCCAGAAAAATAGCATTGAGACTATCAAGATGGTTTACATACGGGAACGACACGCGTGGGGTTACTATAGATTCCACGCGCACTCACGAACGTATGACGGCCTGGGTACGAGGCTAACAACCCACATGGAAGTCCTGTTTAGATATAGGAGATTCCTGCGACTTTAATTTGTAAAATTTTCCCGCCTTTAGCTTGCGTGTAAGTCTCGACATGGGTAAAGTTGTGTATTCGTGGATGATATCACGTGACAAGGAGATGCCCGGCACTGTAGTGCGCAGCAGTACAATACCAGAGGAGCTGGGGAGAGTTGCCTATCTACTGACCGATAAAACTGGAACACTAACTCAGAATGAAATGGTATGTACACATATTAACTTATAGCCGTTTAGAAATTGGGAAAGACGCCTTATTTTCATTCGCATGTTTTCAATACGCCTGAAAAACATATAGCACTGTTGACAAGGGTTTTAGGATATTTTTGTATGATTTGAGAAGGATATGTTTTAGAGCAAACATAACATAGTGATGGAGTCTTGTTTAATTCTGCAAAAATTGAATATACAGAGTCTACTGACGTCGTATCTATATCTTTATTCGAGTACAAGCTGGCGACTTTTCTATCATTTTGCTTCTCAAAAAGCGATGCTTCTCTGTGGCTAAAATTGAATTAGTTCTCTTTCGGTTGAGTTTTGGTCGGTGGTGTTTGAAGGAAAATTGACTGAAGGAAAATTGACTGCAGGATTGGAGTGGTCATGTGGTGGAACCATTGTTCAAATTGAGGTGCACCATTCATCTCATCTGTGTCACCAGTCCCCTGGGCTCCTCGGATGGGTTCCATATTGCTGTTCTCGATTGGGTTAATTATAAAGGAAAGATTATTCTGTTCTGTGTCCTGGGTCGTATTCTCGTGGTGGTCAGTTTCGGGATTGTACGGAGGGCGTGGACGACGATTCTCAATCTGCTCTGCCTGCGCATGCTCGAGTTCACGTTGGAGCTCATCGTTTGCAACGAGTGGCGCAGCTGTACCACGTTCGTCACGAACGCTTCTTCTTGGTCTTCTTCTGATCACGTATTGTTCGCTTCTAAGCTTTAATCTACACCAACAACAAGAAATGCAAAACGCAATCTTTAACGGTATTACGATCAAAAGCACAAGTACAACACCAGTGCTAGAACCACCGCTAGAACCACTTCCAGCACGTCCACCTTCGCTTTCTTCATAATTATCCGAATGTTCTGAAATTGTAGACAGAATTTAAGTTGAAGTTGTAGACAATTTGAAACTAAATTTTGACGACGAGCCTTTTAAATGTAGTCCGAATGAAACGTAGTATGTTACTCAATTCGCTCTGTCTCTTTTGGCATGTAACTCAGTAAGTTCTGCGTCACCAAACTATCGCTATGCGCTATCAAAACATCTGATGATATAGAAATTAGTAAGATATGAATATACTCACCATTTCTGCAGGCTTGACACTTTTTATTAACACAGCAAGATTCAGTGGACAAATAACAGTCGCTGTTCGAGGAGCAGTTCTGATGAATACACTTGTAGCTTGATTTATAACTGCATATGCCGTTAAAACAGCAACCATCTTTCTCGCAATCATCTGATGTCGAACAGTTTCTTTGAGACTTGGCGAACACGATCGAGGACGAGACGATGACCAATACCAACGACAATAATGTATTCATAGTTGGTTCTCAGGACAATTATGTAAACATGGGTTTTCTCGAAGATTTTTTAGGGAACTCAAGTGCCGTTCCGAACTATTTGGCAGCCAACTTCCTTGTGTTGGGGAGAATTTTATTCAAATGAGGATGTTTCGCGACAGTTATTACCTCAGTTGACATACGGTTCATTGTCTTAGAATTTGTATGGCAAAACGTTTATCCTACCTCTTCTCGTGAAAATAATGCTCCTGACAATTGTAATGTTGCAAAATGCAATTTGAAATGGCTTTACGAGTAACGATTTTTCTTGGAAATATCAAATGGTGAAAACGACTTCACAATAAGAAGTAAGCAACGACGTTCTGTGTGAATGCCTCGTAATTATACAAATAAGAAGCAAATGAGTTTTGGAATCGACGAGAAAATTTGATACCTGCTCAGCTTTAACAAAACCAAAATTTATGGATGAGAAATTCGGGTTTTTTCATGTGATCTGTACAGAATTGAATCCTACATTCTGGTATACCTAAATTGGTACACAACAATTCAAATTGAACGAGACTGTATCAATGGGCAATAATATGTATTTGCTTTGAAAAATATGAGTATGTTTTCTTAGAGCTTAGCTTTTTTGCTCCTGAATATGTTTTGGAGCAAACACTACATGTTAATTGTATCTTGTTTCATTCTGCTAAAAAATTGAACTTATACTGTCTACTGAAGTCTACTGACGTCGTTTCTATATCTTTATACGAGTACAAGCTGACGTCTTTTCTGTCCTTGCTTCTCAAAAAGCGGTGTTTTGCAGTGGCTGAAGTTGCATTAGTTCTTTTTGAGTTGAGTTTTGTTCGGTGGTGTTTTGGGGAAAATCGACTGAAAGACTGAAGTGGTCATGTGGTGGAAACATTGTTGAGTCTTGTGGTGCACCATTCACTTCCTCTGTGTCACCAGTCCCCTGAGCTCCTCGGATGAGATCCATGTTGCTGTTATCGACTGGTATGATTATCGAAGGACATGGCTGTGCAAACTCGTGTTCAGGTTGAAGCTCATCGTTTACGACGAGTGGCACGGATGTATCGCACGTTTGTCTTAGAATCATTTCGTTACGAAGGCTCTCTTGTCTTCGGGCCTCCTCGCATAGGTTTCCCAACTTTACTAAACAGCACATGCAGATTGTTACGTCTATGGGTATTATGATAAGAAGCACAATTGTAATTACACTTAGAGAATTACTTCTAGAACGTCCATCATCGCTGGCTTCGCTGCCTGAAATTGAATAGAAAGGTGAAAGCATTGACAAGACGTATAGTCACTGAATAGAAACCTATCAGAACGTCATATCTATTTTGTGACGTAACAAATGGTTTAGCCTGCGAGAATATTAGAATATATTCAGTGTGGTATCTCAACTAGAATGAGATAATACATGCTCTCTAGGATTGGTTATTCTTACAGCAGCTGCTGTAGTATTCTCAGTTGCAATGCCATTTGGCCCATTTCTTTGAATTTGCTACTCTTGAATTCGATTTACATTAGTTTTCGACACAGCTTCAAAGATAAATTCGTGCGTTTAAGATTTACTGAGCATGCAAGGACTTATTACGGCGTGATTGATTAGTTCCTACGTCAAATATATCATTCTCCGATATTCTTTTTGGGAAAAGAATCCGTTTTTAAGGTACAATTTTGGTATGCGAATTTTACGTATAATGAAGTTAATTGCTGATAATAGCTCAATTTGACATAGTTTTAATTCAGTAAGTTCTGCGCAACCAAACTATCGCTATGCGCTATCAAAACATCTGATGATATAGAAATTAGTAAGATATAAATATATTCACCATTTGTGCAGCCTTGACACTTTTTATTAACACAGCAAGATTCAGTGGACAAATAACAGTCGCTGTTCGAGGAGCACTTCTGATAAATACACTTGTAGCTTGATTTATAACTGCATATGCCGTTAAAACAGCAACCATCTTTCTCGCAATCATCTGATGTTAAACAGTTTCTTTGAGACTTGGCGAAGACGATCGAGGACGAGACGATGACCAATACCAACAACAATAATGTATTCATAGTTGGTTCTCAGGACAATTATGTAAACATGGGTTTTCTCGAAGATTTTTAAGGGAATTCAAATGCCGTTCCGAACTATTTGGCAGCCAACTTCCTTGTGTTGGGGAGAATTTTATTCAAATGAGGATGTTTCGCGACAGTTATTATTACCTCATTTGACCTCCTGTTCATTGTCTTAGAATTTGTAGGCGCAAAACGTTGATCGTACCTCTTCTCGTGAAAATAATGTTCCTGACAATTGTAATGTTGCAAAATGCAATTTGAAATGGCTTTAAGAGTAACGTTTTTTCTTGGAAATATCAAATGGTGAAAACGACTTCACAATAAGAAGTAAGCAACGACGTTCTGTGTGAATGCCTCGTAATTATACAAATAAGAAGCAAATGAGTTTTGGAATCGACGAGAAAAATTGATACCTGCTCAGCTTTAACAAGACCAAAATTTATGGATGAGAAATTCGGGTTTTTTCATCTGATCTGTACAGAATTTGAATCCTACATTCTGTTATACCTAAATTGGTACATAACAATTCAAATTGAACGAGACTGTATCAATGGACAATAGTATGTATTTGCTTTGAAAAATCTGAGTATGTTTTCTAAGAGCTTAGCTTTTTTGCTCCTGAATATGTTTTGGAGCAAACACTACATGTTAATTGTATCTTGTTTCATTCTGCTAAAGAATTGAACTTATACTGTCTACTGAAGTCTACTGACGTCGTTTCTATATCTTTATACGAGTACAAGCTGACGTCTTTTCTGTCCTTGCTTCTCAAAAAGCGGTGTTTTGCAGTGGCTGAAATTGCATTAGTTCTTTTTGAGTTGAGTTTTGTTCGGTGGTGTTTGGAGGAAAATTGACTGAAAGACTGAAGTGGTCATGTGGTACACATTTCACTTTCTCTGTGTCACCAGTTCTCTGAGCTCCTCGGATGAGATCCATGTTACTGTTATCGACTATTATGATTATCGAAGGACATGTGTGTGCAAGCTCGTGTTCATTTTGAAGCTCATCGTTTACGACGAGTGCCACGGATGTATTGCACGTTTGTCTTAGAATCATTTCGCTACGAAGGCTCTTTTTTCTTTGGGCCTCATCGCGTAGGTTTCCCACCTTTACTGCACAGCACATGCAGATTGTTACGTTTATGGGTATTAGGATGAGAAGCACAATTGTAGCGCCACTTAGAGAATCACTTCTAGAACGTCCACCATCGCTGGCTTCGCTGCCTGAAATTGAATAGAAAGGTGAAAGGTGAAAGCATTGACAAGACGTATACTCGCTGAATAGAAACCTACCCGAACGTCATCTCTATTTTGTGACGTAGTGAGTGGTTTAGCCTGCGAGAATTTTAGAATATATTCAGTGTGTTATCTCAACTAGAATGAGATAATACATGCTCTCTAGGATTGGTTATTCTTTCAGCAGCTGCTGTAGTATTCTCAGTTGCAATGCCATTTGGCCCATTTCTTTGAATTTGCTACTCTTGAATTCGATTTACATTAGTTTTCGATACAGCTTCAAAGATACATTCGTGCGTTTAAGACTTACTGAGCATGCAAGGACTTATTACGGCGTGATTGATTAGTTCCTACGTCAAATATATCATTCTCCGATATTCTTTTTGAGAAAAGAATCCGTTTTTAAGGTACATAACAATTTTGGACTGAGAATTTTACATGAAGTTAATTGCTGATAATAGCTCAATTTGACATAGTTGTAATTCAGTAAGTTCTGCGCTACCAAACTATCGCTATGCGCTATCAAAACATCTGATGATATAGAAATTAGTAAGATATGAATATATACTCACCATTTGTGCAGGCTTGACACTTTTTATTAACACAGCAAGATTCAGTAGGCAAAGAACAGTTGCTGTTCGAGGAGCAGTTCTGATGAATACACTTGCAGCTTGATTTATAACTGCATGTGCGGTTAAAACAGCAACCATCTTTCTCGCATTCATCTGATGTCGAACAGTTTGTTTGAGACTTGGCGAAGACGATCGAGGACGAGACGGTGACCAATACCACTGACAACAATAATGTATTCATAGTTGGTTCTCTGGACAATTATGTAAATTTGCGATTTCTGGAGGATTTTTAAGGGAACTCAGGAGCCGTTCCGAACTATTTGGCAGCCAACTTCCTTGTTTTGGGAAGATTTTTTTTTAGATGAGGATTTTGTTTGTTCGAAACTTCATGTAATTTTAGTGTAAGCCAACTCTCTTTGATGCAAATTTGCAAGATGACCTAATCTTTGGGATTTACTTTTAGATGGACTATGACATTTCAGAAACATTCCGCGTGCAGAAATCATGCTGTATCCTGTACAAAAATCCTTTCATTATTTTGTAATTTCTAATTTAGTAATTCCTAACTCGAACGGAACGAAACTATATCAATGGTATAGCAATTCTATGTATTTTCTTTGAAAAAACTGAGTATGTTTTCATAGAGCTCAGCTTTTTTGCTCCTGAATATGTTTTGGAGCAAACACTACATGTTAATTGTATCTTGTTTCATTCTGCTAAAGAATTGAACTTATACTGTCTACTGAAGTCTACTGACGTCCTGTCTACATCTTCTTTATACGAGTACAAGCTGACGACTTTTCAGTCCTTGTCAAAAAGCGGCGGTTTTCTGTGGCTAAAATTGCACTAGTTCTGTTTGGGTTGGGTTTTGTTCGGTGGGGTTCGGAGGAAAATTGACTGAAGGAATGGGGTGGTCATGTGGTGGAAACATTGTTGCATCTTCTGGTACACCATTCACTTTCTCTGTGTCACCAGTCCCCTGGGCTCCTCGGATGGGTTCCATGTTGCTGTTCTCGATTGGGTTAATTATAAAGGAAAGATTATTCTGTTCTGTGTCCTGGGTCGTATTCTCGTGGTGGTCAGTTTGTGGATAGTACGGAGGGGGTGGACGACCAATTTCAATCTGCTCTGCCTGCGCATGCTCGTGTTGACGTTGGAGCTCATCGTGTTCGACGAGTACTACGGCTATATTGCACGTCTCTCTTCGGACCATTCCGTCACGAAGATTCTCTTGTCGTCGGGCCTCGTCGCGTTCCTGTCCACGCTTTATTTTACAACATATGCAGCAAAAGCAAAGCGCAATCTTTATCGGTATTATGATTGCAATCGCAAGTGTAGTACTGCTTCCAGAACTACCGCTGGAACTTCCACCATTGCGGTCTTCATAACCATCGGAATAATCTGAAATTGAATAAAAAGGTGTCATCTCTATTCTGCGACGTAGAGAGTGGTGTAGTGTAGCCTGCAAGCAGGCAATATTTATAATACATCAGAATATATTTAGTATGGTATATCTCAACTAGGATTAGATGACAAATGCTCTCTGGGATTGGTTCTTTTACAAAAGCTGCTGTAGTATTCTCAGATCTAATGGCATTCCTTTGAATTCACTACTCTTGAATTCGATTTACATTACTCATTAGTTTTCGACACAGCGTCAAAGATACATTCGTGCGTTTAAGATTTATTGAGCAAGGACTTATTACGGCGTGATTGGTTCTTTTGTCAAGGAAGAATCCGAAGAATTTGAGACAACTTTTGAATGAGAATTTTACGTATAATGAAGTTAATTGCTGATAATAGCTCAATTTGACATAGTTTTAGTTCAGTAAGTTCTGCGCTACCAAACTATCGCTATGCGCTATCAATACATCTGATGATATAGAAATTAGTAAGATATAAATATATTCACCATTTGTGCAGGCTTGACACTTTTTATTAACACAGCAAGATTCAGTGGGCAAAGAACAGTCGCTGTTCGAGGAGCACTTCTGATGAATACACTTGTAGCTTGATTCATAACTGCATATGCCGTTAAAACAGCAACCATCTTTCTCGCAATCATCTGATGTTAAACAACTTCTTTGAGACTTGGCGAAGACGATCGAAGACGAGACGGTGACCAATACCAACAACAATAATGTATTCATAGTTGGTTCTCAAGACATGTGATTTCTCGGGGATTTTTAAGGCAATTTAATTAAGAGTCGTTCCGAACTATTTCAGTGGCAGCCAACTTCCTTGTGCTGAAGTATGTTGTTTATTGGAAACTTCATGTAATTTTAGTGTAATCCAACACTCCTTGGTGTCAACTTTCAAGATAAATCTAGATGGCCACTGTCTAAGTATGCAGGTCATATATAGCTATATATTTCACGACGCGTTGTTAGTAAAGTTCGAAGAAAGGAAATGCAGGATGTTTTTTGCAAGCAATAATTTATTAGTCTTAGCTAAATAACAAGGCTTACTCGATGATCATTAAAGGATGATTGTTGGTTATAGTTGTGGTAAACTAAAATAACATACCCATAAAAAAACTAAGCCCATGCATTTCCAATGAATATAACAATCAATCAACTTATAAGCCTATTTATTTTAACAACCGATAAAATTTCATCTTTGGATTTATCCCAGAATTTTATGATCAAGTAGGAGGCAGTAAACGTTCTGCATATATAGATTCCTCAAAACTATTATATTGTAATTACGGCAAAAAAACTAACATGCAAACCCTCAGAGCATTGGCGAAAAATCCTCTTGTTTTATTCTCAGCAATTGAGATAAAAATTTATGGATGATTTATGATTTATTTTTCTCATCTCGATTCGTAAAAGTTTAAATTATAGTCGATGCTTGAAACTTTATTATAATAAACAACAGGAGGGCGTTTCATACCAAGGCTCACACCAACGCGGCTTACGAAACCATATATATAAAGAAGTTCTTTATAAACGACATTGACATTATTAACGTGACAGACGAGTTCTCATATGATAGATAGTTATAGGTATATTACATTCACTTTTGTACAATATACAGAGTAGTTTTCGATATCTGGTAATGATTACAGAAAGTTTCATACAGCCTGTGCTGATACTCGTCCATGCATTTTTACGTTTTTAAAATTTTATATAAAAAGCTTTAAAACTTTCAATGATCGTGTTCACGTTTGAGCTCATTCGTACTCACGCTAGAGTTTATCGTGAGCACGAAAAACGACCAAAACGTAACAAAGTTCCTTTACTTTGAATTTTCGTCTGCGTTGTTTGGTGATATGGAACTGGGTGTAGGAAGCATTGTTTCGCCTTGTGGTACACCATTCATTTCATCTGTGCCACCGGTCCCTGGAGTTCCTTCGTAAGAGTCTATGTCGTTCTTCTCGATTGGATTGTCCATAGAAATATTGGTATATTCAGGCGGTGGCTCAGTTGGAGTCTCTTTTGAAACTCCTTGTTCTCGTGAAGATGAAATCACATGATGGTCAGCTTGTGGACTGTATGGAGGGGGTGAACGACGGTGCTCCTGCTGTTCCTGCTGCGCACGTTCGTGTTCACGTTGGAGCTCGTCGTTTTCCACGACTGGCGCGATGAAATCGCACGTTCGTCTTCGGATCACGACAACACGTCTTCGCCTTGATGTACGGGAACACAAAGAAACACAAATCCCAATCTTCACGATGACCAGGAAGACCACGGCAAAACCTATAGCAGAACTGGCACCAGCACTCATACGATCGCCAGAACGGCTAGAGCCATCAGAACTTCCATCATAATGATTGTTTTCATATTGGTACGGAGGATCTGAAATCAAGACAGAAATGTAGAGGTGAGGACGTTAGTGGTGTAGCCTAAGAACAGAAATACTTCATGCGAAGGCATGTGTTCAATATTTGCCGTAGAAAAGTAGTGAAAATAGAAGAAGAATACTTCGTATAATTGCTAATAGACAATGGGCATTGGTTTAACTACTGAATTTTATAGTTACGTTTGATGAAAGTTGAACCTGGGAATTTGTGCAAGTGTTTGTATGTTGCTGATTGAGTCTTTCCCTGAGAGGGTCGAAACTCGAAACGTAATCAATTATATCAAACTGGACTGAAATTATACAGACAGAAATCAAAACGAAATATTCGCTTCACTTTTTAAATGTAGTTTAGTTGAACTTTTTAATGCCTCGCTCAATTTGACATACTTTTATTTCTTTTGACATGTAACTCTGCGTAAGTTCTGCGCTACCAAACTATCGCTATGCACTATGAAAACATCTGATGATATAGAAATTAGTAAGATATGAATATATTCACCATTTGTGCTCAGTGTGCAGGCTTGACACTTTTTATTTACACAGCAATATTCAGTGGACATATAACAGTCGGTGTTCGCGTAGCATTTGTCCAAAAAATCCGTATTCGTAGTTGGAACAGTAAGACATTCAAAAGCTGTTTTCTGGCATTCGCCATTCTTACAACAGTAGCTGATGCAATCAAGGTTGGAATCGCATCTCTCTTGAGACTTGACGAAGTCGATCGAGGACGAGACGGTGACCAATACCAACAACAATAATGTATTCATAGTTGGTTCTCAGGAAAATTACGTAAATATGTGATTTCTCGAGGATTTTTAAGGCAATTTAATTAAGAGTCGTTCCGAACTATTTGGCTGCGAACTTCCTTGTGCTGAAGTATGTTGTTTATTGGAAACTTCATGTAATTTCAGTGTAATCCAACACTCCTTGGTGTCAACTTTTAAGATTAATCTAGATGCCACTGTCTAAGTACTGATGCAGGTCACGACGCGTTGTTAGTAAAGTTCGAAGAAAGGAAATGCAGGATGTTTTTTACAAGCAATAATTTATTAGTCTTGGCTAAGTAACAAAGCTTACTCGAGGATCATTAAAGGATGATTGTTGATTATAGTTGTGGTAAACTAAAATAACAAGCCCATAAAAAAACTAAGCCCATGTATTTCCAATGAATATAACAAACAATCAACTTAATAAGCCTATTTATTTTTACAACCGATAAAATTTCATCTTTGGATTTATTCTAGAGTTTTATGATCAAGTATAGGAGGCTGTAAACGTTCTGTATATATATAGATTCAACAAAACTATTATATTGTAATTACGGCAAAAACTAACATGCAAACCCTCAGAGCATTGGCGAAAAATCCTCTTGTTTCATTCTCAGCAATTAAGATAAAAATTGATTTATTTTTCTCATCTCGACTCGTGAAAGTTTGGATTATAGTCGATGCTTGAAACTTTATTATAATAAACAACAGGAGGGCGTTTCATACCAAGGCTCACACCAACGCGGCTTACAAAACCATATATATAAAGAAGTTCTTTATAAACGACATTGATATTATTAACGTGAGGGTTCTCATATGATACTTATAGCTATATTACATTTATTTTTGTACAATGCACAGAGTAGTTTTCGATATCTGCTAATGATTACACATTACAGAAAGTTTCACACTGCCTGTGCTGATACTCATCCATAACGTTTTTAAAATTTTATTTAAAAAGCTTTGAAACTTTCAATGATCATGTTCACGTTTGAGCTCATCAACGAAAGACGACCACAAAAGACTACTGCCGTATTACAGACGAACAGTGAAAAAAGTTTTACACAGATGATGTTTATTCAACTTATGTTTTTAAAATACGACTCCTCACCAAGACCAAAACATAACAAAGTTCCTTTACTTTGAATTTTCGTCTGCGTTGTTTGGGGAGATGGAACTGGGTGTAGGAAGCATTGTTTCGCCTTGTGGTACACCATTCATTTCATCTGTGCCACCGTTCCCTGGAGTTCCTTCGTAAGAGTTTATGTCGTTCTTCTCGATTGGATTGTCCATAGAAATACTGGTATATTCAGGCGGTGGCTCAGTTGGAGTCTCTTGTGAAACTCCTTGTTCTCGTGAAGATGAATTCACATGATGGTCAGCTTGTGGACTATATGGAGGGGGTGAACGACGGTGCTCCTGCTGTTCCTCCTGCTCCACGATTGGCGCGACGGCAACGCGCGTTTGTCTTCGGATCATGGCAACGCGCATTCGTCTTTGGATCATGGCAACACGTATTCGCCTATATATGCGGGAACACCGAGAAACACAAAACGCAATCTTCGCGATGAATAAGAGGACCACAAGAAAACCTATACCAACACTGGCACCAACACTCATACCACCGCCAGAACGGCTAGAGCCATCAGTACTTCCACCATTGTTTCCATAATAGTATGGAGGATCTGAAATTAAAACAAAAACATAGAAACATCACGTGGACGTCCTGGGTTTGTTTGACAAAGTGGGGACGTTAGTGGTGTAGCCTACGAACAGGATTACTTCATGCGAAGGCATGTGTTCAATATTTGGCCAGAAAAGTGTTGAAAATAGAAGAAGAATACTTCGTATAATTGCTAATAGACAATGGTAATGGTTTAACTACTGCATTTTATAGTTATGTTTTATGAAAGTTGAACCTGGGAATTTGTGCAAGTGTCTGTATGTTGCTGATTGAATCTTCTTTGGGAAAGTCGTTACTCGAAACGTATTCAATTATTTCAGGCTTGACCGAAATTACAGACAGAAAGCAAAACGAAATATTCGCTCACTTTTTAAATGTAGTCTAGTTGAACTTTTTTATGCATCGCTCAATTTGACATACTTTCGTTTCTTTTGACATGTAACTCAGTAAAATCTGCGCTACCAAACTATTGCTATGTACTATCAAAACATCTGATGATATAGAAATTAGTAAGATATGAATATATTCACCATTTGTGCAGGCTTGACACTTTTTATTAACACAGCAAGATTCAGTGGACAAATAACAGTCGCTGTTCGAGGAGCACTTCTCATGAATACACTTGTAGCTTGATTCATAACTGCATATGCCGTTAAAACAGCAACCATCTTTCTCGCAATCATCTGATGTTAAACAACTTCTTTGAGACTTGGCGAAGACGATCGAGGACGAGACGGTGACCAATACCAACAACAATAATGTATTCATAGTTGGTTCTCAGGACAATTACGTAAACTTGCGATTTCTCGAGGATTTTCCTATATATAGATATGAAATACAAAGCTTACTCGAGGATCATTAAAGAATGATTGTCGATTATAGTTGTCGTAAACTACAATAACAAATATACGAAAAAACTAAGCCCATGCATTATTTCTAATGAATATAACAATCAATCAACTTAATAAGCCTATTTATTTTAACAACTGATAAAATTTCAACTTTCAAAGCAACAATTACTAAAGAGGGTCCTTGATTTAGGAATACTAAGATTTAATCAAAGCTATAAGAAACAACGGGTGATTTTAGAACGGTTACAAAATCACTATCCGGTGGATAGCGCTATCCGGCTTTAAAAACAACCGGCCGCTAACACCCTTGTTTATCTATAGTACGGATTTCAGCGGATTTCTTGCGAGAATCTTGTTTTTTAGAAGAAAATTCGCAACTGGCCAGACTTGAGCCAACTCAAACGACATTTAAGCACTTTACGAGTCAACTTTGACGTCGCTTTTGAAATTTGAATTGTCGAATGACGTTTTTTGCCAATTATCGTTCTGAATCTGCATGACATCCTGTTCATTTATTCCAGAATGTTATCTGCATATAGATTCCTCCAAACTATTATATTGTAATTACGGCAAAAAAACTAACATGCAAACCCACAGAGCATTGGCGAAAAATCTTCTTGTTTTATTCTCAGCAATTGAGATAAAAATTTATGGATGATTTATTTTTCTCATCTCGATTCGTAAAAGTTTAAATTATAGTCGATGCTTAAAACTTTATTATAATTAACAACAAGACGGCGTTTCATACCAAGGTTCACACCAACGCGGCTTACAAAACTATATATATAAAGAAGTTCTTTATAAACGACATTGACATTATTAACGTGACAGACGAGTTCTCATATGATAGATAGTTATAGGTATATTACATTCACTTTTGTACAATATATACAGAGTAGTTTTCGATATCTGCTAATGATTACAGAAAGTTTCATACAGCCTGTGCTGATACTCATCCATGCATTTTTACGTTTTTAAAATTTTATATAAAAAGCTTTAAAACTTTCAATGATCGTGTTCACGTTTGAGCTCATTCGTACTCACGCTAGAGTTTATCGTGAGCGCGAAGAACGACCAAAACGTAACAAGGTTCCTTTACTTTGAATTTTCGTCTGCGTTGTTTGGGGAGATGGAACTGGGTGTAGGAAGCATTGTTTCGCCTTGTGGTACACCATTCATTTCATCTGTGCCACCGGTACCTGGAGTTCCTTCGTAAGAGTTTATGTCGTTCTTCTCGATTGGATTGTTCATAGAAATACTGGTATATTCAGGCGGTGGCTCAGTTGGAGTCTCTTGTGAAACTCCTTGTTCTCGTGAAGATGAAATCACATGATGGTCAGCTTGTGGACTGTATGGAGGGGGTGAACGACGGTGCTCCTGCTGTTCCTGTTGCGCACGTTCGTGTTCACGTTGGAGCTCGTCGTTTTCCACGACTGGCGCGATGACATCGCACGTTCGTCTTCGGATCACGACAACACGTCTTCGCTTTGATATGCGGGAACACCAAGAAACCCAAATCGCAATCTTCACGATGACCACGATGACCACGGTAAAACCTATAGCAAGACTGGCACCAGCACTCGTACCACCGCCAGAACTGCTAGAGCCATCAGAACTTCCACCATTGTTTTCATAATGGTACGGATCTGAAATCAAGACAGAAATGTAGAGGCGAGGACGTTAGTGGTGTAGCCTACGAACAGGATTACTTCATGCGAAGGCATGTGTTCAATATTTGCCGTAGAAAAGTGGTGAAATAGAGGAAGAATACTTCGTATAATCGCTAATAGACAATGGACAATGGTAATGGTTTAACTATACTGCATTTTATATAGTTATGTTTGATGAAGTCAGTTGAACCCGGAAATTTGTGCAAGTGTCTGTATGTTGCTGATTGAATCTTTCCCTGAGAGAGTCGAAACTCGAAACGTAATCAATTATATCAGACTTGACTGAAATTATACAGACAGAAATCAAAACAAAATATTCGCTTCACTTTTTAAATGTAGTTTAGCTGATCTTTTTAATGCATCGCTCAATTTGACCATGATTTGACATACTTTCGTTTCTTTTGACATGTAATTCAGTAAGTTCTGCGCCACCAATCTATCGCTATGCGCTATCAAAACATCTGATGATAAAAAAATTGGTAAGATATGAATATATTCACCATTTGTGCAGGCTTGACACTTTTTATCAACACAGCAAGATTTAGTGGGTGAATAACAGTCGCTGTTTGAGGAGCATTTGTCCAAAAAATCCATATTCATAGTTGGAACAGTAAGACATTCAAAATCCGTTTTCTGGCATTCGCCATTCTTACAACAGTAGCTGGTGCAATCAAGGTTGGAATCGCATCTCTTATGAATACACTGGTTGCTCGACTTTGGTTGGCATTTGTTTTTGACACAACAGCCATCAATACAGTTAGAATCAGCGTAACATCGTTGCAACTGCTGCTTTGTTCTCAAAAGCGTGCAAAATATACCGTCATAGCATTCCTTCTGAGAACAGCATTCGTCTTTCTCGCAGTCATCTGATGTCGAACAACTCTTTTGAGAATTGACGAAGACAATCGAGGACGAGACGGTGATTATTACCAACAACAATATTGTATTCATAGTTGGTTCTCAGGACAATTACGTAAACCTATCGAGGATTTTTAAGACCGAACTCAAGTGCCGTTCCGAACAATTTGGCAGCCAACTTCCTTTTGTTGGGGTTTAATTTTATTCAGATGAGGATGTTTCGCGACAGTTCTTATATTCTTCATTCGACATCCTGTTCATTGTTTTGGAATTTTTATGTAAAACAAGTTGATCGTCCTCTTTCCGTGTATAATGTTCCTGACAATTCTATAGTGGATGTTGCAAAGTTCAAGATCTCGCAAATTCGAAAAGGCTTTATGTGCTTAACTTTTTTCCTGGAAATATCGAATGTTTAGAACGACTTCGTAATACGAACCACAGACGTTCTGCATGAATACCTCAAAATTAGAAGTATGTTGTTGTAATTACGCAAATGAGAAGCAAGACTAAGAGGCGCGCTTGCCTCCCCCCCCTGCGTATCTTCCGGACTGTCAAGTTGTAACTTTAACCAACCATTCAACGCGAGTTGGTGTGTTAGCGTTATGAGATTACCTCTTTAATTGATAAAAAAAAATAGTTTATTTCAAAGTTTCATAGTTTATTTCAACTTCTCGTCTTTTTTTAAGAAAAAAAAGTAATAAAGCACAGAATATCCATCATTGTTTTTTGCGTAAGTGTGATTTGTCATGATTCGTTACTCAGCAAGTACCGTAAATACGATTATCGATGCGCGGCGGTGCTTTTCTTCTGACTAAAATTGTATCAGTTCTGTTTGGGTTGAGTTTTGTTCGGTGGTGCTTGGAAGAAAATTGACTGAAAGTCTAGAGTGGTCATGTGGTGGAACCATTGTTGCGTTTTGTGGTGCACTATTCACTTCGTCTGTACCACCAGTCCCCTGAGCTCCTCGGATGGGTTCCATGTTGCCGTTGCGGTTGGCTATAGAAAGAAGAGTATTTCGTTCCGGGCCCTGGCTCCTATTCTCGTGGTGTTCAGTTTGTGGATTGTACGGAGGGGGTGGCCGACGATTCTGACGAAGCTTCCGTGGCTGCGCATGCTCGTGTTCACGTCGGAGTTCATCGTTTGCGATGAGTGGCGCGGCTTCGCGGTGTGTTCGTCTTTGGATCGCGTCCTCAATACGCCGTCGCGTTCGTCTTTGGACCTCATCGCGTTTGCCTGTACACCTCATACACCAACAACAACAGAAAATCCAAAACGCAATCTTTAACAATAATACTAGGAAGGCAATCAGAATTATAATACCAGCACTTAAACCTCCACCTCTGCTTTCTTTATAATTATTCGAAGAATCTGAAATTGGAGAAAAAAGGGGAGAGCTTTGACAAGACATATTTAGTGGAGTGTAGCCTTATTCTGCCCACAGCCCATAAGCGGTGCGAAAGTATCTTCTAATGATTGGTATAAATGCCAATTTCGTGATTTCAACAATCAACATAGTGTTTCTTTACGCATCTGGCTTTGAGGATACCAAGCCTCAGCAAATAAAAGAAGTATTTTACAAGTTATTCACTGGCGAGTCATACCATACTGAATAGCTGATATTAATACGTCGTCATTGCTAGGAAAATGATATTTGGGGTGACGTCCAACCTGTAATGAATGATCTATCTAGGCATGTGACCAGCACTACAGAGAATTATATGGTATCAGAATATATTCACCATAATTGTACCACAACTAGGATGCTATAATACATAATACATGCTCTCTGGGATTGGTAATTCTCACAACAGCTCCTGTAGTATTTTCAGTTGCAATGCCCATTTCAGTTGAATTCACTACTAGAATTCCACTTGTATTAGTTTTCGACGCAACTATCATCCATCTTCTATTTGATTTAATTTCATTGGCATCCCGCAAGACCCTTCATTGCTTGAAATGGCCCGATGATATCACTTACCGTCGCATTTGCCTGCATTGATCACTGCTGAGACAAAAATCAATACCAACAACACCAGTGTCTTCATGGTCGATTCTTATATAACAAAATATCAACCTCCGATCTTGTTTTTGAGAAGAAAATTCGCAACTCGCCAGACTTCAGTCAACTCAAACGACATTCAATCAATGTGCCAGTCAACTTTGACGTTGCTTTTGGAATGAAAATTTTTCGAATGACGTTTTTTGCCAATTATCGTTCTGAATGTGACATCCTGTTCATTTATTTACGATCAAGTAGGAGGCAGTAAACGTTCTGCACAGATTCATCAAAACTATTATATTGTAATTACAACACGAAGGCGTTTTTATAACAAGGCTCACAGCCAACATTGCATACGAAACAATATATATAAAGAAGTTAGTTGTTTATAAAGCACGTTGGTATTATTAACATGGTGGCTCTCTAATTAGAGCTTAAGGTATTTTGAAATGATTAATGATATGTTAAATCTTTTTCGGTATAATTTTAAGACAAATGATAGCGATTTTACAAAGTTTTTCAACGATTCGGAAAGTTTGTGTGTAGACACAACAGTATACATTTTTTTGTTTGGTAACATTTACAGTTCGAAAGAGATATATTACCAAGCAATATTTACCTTTATACAATCAACGAATACGACTCATTAAAACTAGAGATAAACAAACATGCACATCACATTGCATCTACGTGTTTAGGTCCAAATTGAAGTTTCAAATGTTATCATATAACATATTTAGTTTGTGACTAAATAACAAAAGGTCCCATTATCAGGTTACTATTACCAGATGCTTCTCGTCTTTGAGTTTGGTCTGATTGGGTTGAATGTTGGGCTGTGGGATTGACTACGGTACTGGGGGTATACGCTGGTGGTGGTACCATTGTGGAACTCTGTACACGTGGTGCACTATTCATTTCTTCTGTATTTCCAGTCTCTAGATGAGCACTTTGGTCAGTCTGTGTGGTGGGGTCGTCAACTGGATTAGGTGAATACGCAGGAGGTGGTCCAATAGGCGCTGCTTCTCCTTGTCTTTCACCTTGGATCAGTGCATGACGTTCCTCGTCGTTATGTGCAACGTCTTGGAAGGGACGCGGGCTGTACGCAGGCGGGGGCCGGTCAGGAATCCCCCGGTCTGTTCGTTCGTACTCCCGTTGCAGCTCATCGCACTGCACGATGGGAACGGCAACGCACGTGATTCGTCTTCGCACGGTGATCACGCGTTCGCGTTGAGTGGTGCGACGCTGGCACCAAGATGCCCAGAGTGTGACTTTTAAGATGATGACGACCACTGAAGCTACAGCTATGCCAATATAAGCCCCTACACCCATACCACTGCTAGACTTCCTGTGTGTGTAACTGTCGTCGTCGTAGTTGTCTTCAAAGTAACCTTCCGTGGTAGTATCTGAAACATAGAAAGGGAACAAGTGGGAACAATTCTCGTGAAATTCCCGAATTCGCTGAACAACACACGTCTCTGTTTGACGTTAAGAGACAGTCATCAGTATCAAGAATGACTATCGGTTTAAGTATATTGATGTGGACTTCATAACACTCGCAGCCTTTTATTAACTAGAAAATCTTGAACCATTTCTAGGGTGATCTATATGTGGCATGATCAGGTCAGGACTTGAAGGCGTTAGGCGGAATGCAAAGCTCTGAGCCTCTGATATAAAATATCCTGATGTAACTTAGCATCTTTCTTAGAGTAGCTTCGAGTCTTTTACCGGAAGAGCAAATTTCCGCGCATACACACATCTCTCGTTATCGCAACTCAGACGTCTGATTACGTGTGTATTGTGGGTTTGTGTGTTATGTCATGGAGTGAATTACGTTGGCAGAGTTGAGTGGGAGGCTTTTTAAACGGACACAGCTTGAAAATAGCAAATGCTTGGCGACAGCACAACGGCAAGTTGGCAACTTAAATGAATATTTCATGATCAAAAGTCGGAGATTCAGTTGATGAATTCGAATCAAAATTAAAAGATGTATATTACGTTTCAGTGCTAGCTTTCTCACGACAATAGTATAAAATGTTTCCTAGATTATTCGCTCCTCTTTAATGTGTTACTTACATTTCGTTCCACATTCACCGCATTGTTGATCAACACAGCAACCGCTACATTGCCAGTCATAATTACACCAATTCCTCGTCGTACTAGGAACAGTAGCAATACACGAGAAATACGATGCTTGGCAGATATAGTCTTTACAACAATCACTGCTACAATCTAAGGCTTTATAACACAAACTACCTGCTGTCGCTTTCGTAGATTTGGTGGTTGTCTTCGTAGACAAAATAGGAACAGTAGCAGTACACGAGAAATACGATGCTTGGCAGGTATATCCTTTACAACAATCACTTCTACAATCCGAGTCTTTATAACACCAACTACCCGCTGTCGGTTTACTTTGTTGTTGTTGCCTTTTCAAATAACACTCAATGCTCGAATACGTGTAACATCTATTATTAAAACAACATCCATCTGAACAGCTTATATCACTGTAACATTGCTTGCTCTGGCCACATCTCAAATGATCAGTCGTGCAACGTCCTTCATAACAACATTCCCCAAAGCCACAGTCGTCTTTCGAGGAACAACTTTGAGACTTAGAACCCGTAATGAGAAATGCCACTAGTACAACAACAACCAAGACCCCTTTACTCATATTTGCCTCCAATCTCATGGAATCGAATCTGCTTCAGTATTTGAAATAGCACAGCAGAATATGCTTACTTTAGATAAGACGTAATGGCTTCGGATGTGCTTCGACGCCACTCCACACTATAGCTTCCTTGTTGCATTATAAATATAATATATGCTCACGTTTGGAATGCGTGCATGACATCACGTCGTAATAAAAAAACTTGCATATTAAATTTCTTTGAATCCGATGAATTGTATCATTTGTATGCCGCGGCCTGCGAAGTTCAAAATGAAGCAAGTATGTACACTCAAACACCCAAACTCACTCAAACAGTTCACAACCAATATTATGATTTTCAGAGTTGGGTTTGTGTGATTTCGACCGAAATCTTCTTGAATAACATGTTAGGATTAAAGCTCGTTGATATTGCAATAATTTATGGCTCATGTTTCGGGGATTAGCTTCCAAGTCACAAGACTGACGTTACTCAAGTGGATTACCGTCATAATAACTGTCATAATAAGACGCCACAGATCAAATTCTAAGTTGAAATGTCTGAGTTCCAAGAAAATAAATTCGTGAATATTCCTATGTGGAGTTGCAGTCAATTTCGGTCTAACATTTTTAGTTAGACGTGTTCTGTTGCCACCAGGAAAAATATCGGCGAACGATTTCCCCTTAAATAGAAAACAGATCTTATATTTTTTTCCAACTGAGCAGTCTTAACAATAACTTCTGTTATCGTAAAAAGATGTTGAAAGAACCAAAGTACAGTACTTCTTTAAAAAGGAAAATTTCTACTATAACGCCTTCAATCTAGGTAAAAATATTAAAGTTAATAACAGCCGTTCTACTTCGCGTACAAGTGCCCGTACTTCTGTACTACATTGCTTTTAAAATTATACATACATTGGTTTTAAAATTATACATACATTGGTTTTAAAATTATACATACATTGCTTTTAAAATTATAAATACATTGCTTTTAAAATTATACATACATTGGATTTGAAATTTAAAGAATCAGAACGAGTGATATTTCTTTCAATGTTATAGCTGCAAACTTAGTGTTTTTTATTATATTTGGCAGGTTTTTAAAAGACTTCACCTTGGAACCGTGTCATTTGGCGCTGACTCGATGGACGAGGTATAATGTGCAAGAACATGTTAAGTTGCTGTCCGGTGTTGTCCGGTGTTGCAGTGACTGCTGCACACCAGGAATAATCACAATGTCATGTTAGCAATGCAATGCTTTAGGTCCCGTTTAAACGGACGCAATATTGTTGGCACAACATATATTATTAGATTTGTCCAAATTGAAATCCTATCCTTGTAATAATTGGGATGGAAACACAAAACAAAACGTTAGTTGAAAATTTGTTGGATGACGTTGGATCAACAATGTTGGGTCCGTTCGAACAAGGCTTTAGTTACAATATCATAATTACATGCATTCTCATGATTACAATGTCGAAAACTGCGCCTTCTCATGACAATCTCATGATTACAACCTCACAGTTATTCAACGTTTCTTTAAGGTTGTGACACACCTACGAACAGCGACAGCAGCCGTTGTAACGACAGCCATGAAGAAGTCTGGACAATCCAAGGTATTCATGAAGACTTCCCGGATATAATGCCGTGACTTCCAGTGACTCAGCGCATTTTTCCACAAAACATTGTTGAATATGGCAATTTTCAAGTATATTTAGCGCGCATGAACGATACGATATCTTGTCTCATTCCAGGTTCGAAGGACGGTGGTGACCCGAGTTCACGAGGCCGTTAAAGCTTTAGCATTATGTCATAATGTAACCCCGGTACGCAGAGGTGAGGGGAACGGGGAGAGCGACGAATCTTCATCAAATCAGGATGGGATTGCAGTTGATGAGGAGGGTGAAGTTGGTACAGCGAGTGGTGACTTCACTTATCAAGCTTCTAGCCCTGACGAAGTAAGATTTCGATAAATTTTCTTCGATGAAGGAGGAAGGGTTTATCAACTAAGCTTCAATTATATCTGGATTGGAAACTTTTCATAAACCTTTCATGAACCATCTCAGTTCAATCTGATCTCTTCCACCAAGGTTGCTCTCGTCACATGGGCAGAAACAGTTGGTCTTAGTTTGATCAATCGTGACCTGACCATTATGACGCTTCGCTCGCCCCACGGCCAGATTTTGAAATATGAAATTTTACAAATATTTCCGTTCACGTCGGAGTCGAAGAGAATGGGGATCATAGTTCAGGTAAGTTTAGGAGAGTTTCAAAATCTATACTAGCGTACGTGTATCATGTCTTGTGCGAATACACTCCAACAGGGTGGGGGTGGGGGTGTAGGGGAGAGGGGGTGGTCGAGGGTTGTAGTTTGTGAGCAAGCATTTCTTTATATTCTAATTGTAGGATCAGTCTACAGGAGAAATCACGTTTTATTTAAAAGGAGCCGATGTTGTGATGGCTAATATTGTGCAGTATAATGACTGGCTGGAGGAAGAGGTATGTGTTCCGGCAACCAACTGGTTTGACAGGCACTTTACTTGAATTGCTGCTCTAGGAAATACTGGATTACCTTTTATTTTTCATCGTTTAGTGTGGTAATATGGCTAGAGAAGGTCTGAGAACTCTGGTTGTTTCCAAGAAAGTTCTATCTGAAGAACAGTACAAAGATTTCGAGGTAGACTAACGTGTTTTTCATTTAGTTAGCAGCAACATTGTTCAAAAAATCATCTTTTTTGATTCTTTCTCATCCTCAGTATCGACTTAGTCAAGCAAAAGTGAGTTTATCAGAGAGAGCGGCAAAGGTTAGTTGCTAAAATTCAGTAACGTGTCAAGTGTCAAATTTACTGGGCTCATTTGGAGGAAATGATAAAATTTTCCTTCTCATTTTTATCAGATTAGCGCGGTACAAAGCAGTATAGAAAATGATATGGAATTGCTTTGCCTCACGGGAGTTGAAGACAAACTACAGGTGAAAGCATTAAGTTACGAAGCCTCGAATGACTACATGTTGCTTAATTCAGCCTTCTGACGTGGCTTTTTTGGCTGACTGTGTTAGGTTCAGCGTAGTTTTCTGCCATCTTAAATCTCTTCTTTTCCCGCCAGACTGATGTACGACCAACCCTTGAGTTATTAAGAAATGCAGGTGTGAAGGTAAGGATGAAACCTAATAATCCACCGTCGTTGCATTATTTACATTGTCCTTCACTTGCCGGCGTTCATTCTATTCAGATCTGGATGTTGACTGGAGATAAACTGGAAACGGCGACCTGCATCGCTCAAAGCTCGCGTCTCGTATCAAAATCACAGACAATTTACACATTCAAACAGGTAGAAACTATTCTCTAATGATCGCGTTAACAACATTCTTCCTCAAAAGATGCCTTTATGATGTGAGAGTTCTTTGCCATGATAACAATGCATCGTCGAAATGCGTGACGGTATTATCAAGCAACTTTGAGTTGCGATGTCGCTCTGACTGTTGTGATCGTGTTTGTTTTCTTTGCGTATAGGTGACTGACAGAACTGAGGCTCACCTGGAACTTAACTCGTTTCGTCGTAAGAATGATTGCGCTTTAGTTATCAAAGGCGATTCTTTGGAGGTGGGTATCGTGATAAAAAGGAGGAAATTTGAGTTATGATGACGTACTCGCAATGCATGTTTCCATCGCGGTGAAATCAAATGTCCGGTTGTAATTTCCACATTTCAGACGTGCTTGAGACATTATCAGCAAGAGTTCATGGAGCTAGCATGCCGCTGTCCAGCTGTAGTGTGTTGTCGTTGCTCTCCACAGCAAAAGGCAGACATCGTGGAACTGTTGCAAACTTACACGAAAAAAAGAACTTGTGCTATAGGTTGGTATATATGACACTCCAGCGCATTGCATAATGTATATACTAGTTAGTGATGAGATACTAAGATGAAGGTTAGGAGAAATTAGTGAACATACAAGCGTGAAAGCTCTTTCTATTCTTTCTTTCGATTCTTGGAACATCTTTCTTTAGTATAATCCCCGTCTCGTTTCAGGTGATGGCGGTAACGACGTTAGCATGATTCAGGCAGCCAATGTTGGTGTAGGGATTGAGGGAAAGGTATATTGCGTCATTCTCTGATATCTTATATTCTCTTGATATCTTGTCATTTGTTTCAAGCAAAGAGAACTAAAGCACCTTTTCTCACATGTGTCGTGAGCTGAATTCTAGCCACACAATCGTATGGATTGTATACGATTGAAAGAACAAGAATGAACCTTTGATTCAAGACAAGGGTGATTAGTGTAACTATTGCCTTTGTTTTTATCAAATCTTTTTATTCCTATAGGAAGGAAAACAAGCCTCTCTGGCCGCTGATTTTTCAATCACACAATTCAAATATCTCGGTAGATTGCTGGTGTGGCATGGAAGAAATAGGTTGGTTTCATCGCTACAGTCTGGTTTCAGAAAATCTTTGATATCCGTTGATCACAAAACAACTGCTCGAAATATTCTTTCTCCAAAACCTCCCAACATGCTTCGTTTACGTTTCAGCTACAAGAGATCCGCAGCTCTTAGTCAATTTGTTATCCATAGGGGTCTCATTATATCAATCATGCAGGTACCTTATTATTTTTTATCCACAGAGTTACATCAATCATAAAGGTAGCATGCAGGACCGTCATGTTTACACCATCGTAGTTTGCAAATAGCTGTAAAGGTGGCTTTTTTGTTGTGTTTGGCAAATTCACAGGCTTGAGAAATAGACAATCATATTTATAAATTGCTAAATGTACTTTTGTTTTATCAAGGCTGTGTTTTCCAGTGTTTTCTACTTTGCATCTGTTGCCCTGTATCAGGGTTACCTGATGGTCGGGTAAGCATCCTTCTCTGAATAGGAACTGAATAAAAATATCTTCTGATTCTGCGAACTAATTTCCTCTTTCTGTCTTAAATCAGTCATAAAAAGTCTGCCATACATGTGTATTGTCTTCTAACTCGTTTTTACAAATTCTGTTTAGCTATTCCACCATCTACACAATGTTTCCTGTCTTCTCATTGGTTCTTGATGAAGATGTCCCAGATGACATAGCGCTAAGATTTCCTGAATTATATAAAGATCTGTCCAAGGTATGACGCAAAAACTGATAATATTGAAATGTACAAATTGCTTAATGCACTCTGAATAGTGTTCAACTACTATAAGACTAGTAACACTTGTGTGTTACCCATAATTAAGGTCTTTTAATGTGACTATTCTCTCCAACCTAGGGTCGTTCGCTGTCCTATAAGACATTCTTCATTTGGATTTTAATCAGTATTTACCAGGGTGGTATTATCATGTTCGGCGGTATTTTGCTTTTCGACGAAGAATTTATTCATGTTGTCACGATAACATTCACTTCGTTGATTCTTACGGAGCTTTTGATGGTCGCATTGACGATACGAACATGGCATTGGTTGATGGTTGCTGCTGAGATCTTTAGTTTATCCGTGTATGTTGCCACTTTGGCTGTGTTTAAAGATTATTTTGGTGAGTGCTTGGAGCATTGAACTATATTATCTAGTCGGGAGAGTTAGTCTTACTAACTCTCCTGACGAAGGCCCTCAGGTCGAAACGTCGAGAAGTGTTTTGTCTATTTAGGCAGTTGTTATACCACATTTGATGCTAAGTTGTTCGAAGACGCCGCCACGCTGCTCCTTGGTTATATTGAAACTTATATTATCTAGTTGGGTTAATCTTCAATTAATGCAGTATTCTCTCTTCTGTTTTAGATGAACGATTCTTAATCTCATTGAACTTTCTGTGGAAAGTAACCGTGATCACTTTGGTCAGCTGTCTGCCACTGTATATCTTGAAATTTCTGAGACGAAAATACGCGCCACCAAGTTACTCGAAGCTCACGTAGATCGTGCTAATACGTGCTGTAGTAGTTTAGCCCAAAGTTAGTGTGAGCTTAGTTAGATAGAATGTAGGAATCTATGTGCATAATTAATTTAGAAATATCCAGCTGATCTGGGTATAAAAATCAACCAATCAGAAGCCAGATCTTCAGCAAAATATCGAACATATCAAGTAATGCTCGAAATACTCGAAAATATCAAGTAATTTTATTATAATTATTTAAGCGAAAACACGTTTATTTTTTCCCAACTGTAAATTAGAATTTAAATTTTTCACCCTTTATACTATTAGTGAGAAGAATAAGGACAAATAACACTAGGCGTATGATAACTCAGTTTTGTCGAGACGCTTTATAACGTCATGATCTCAGATCAGCTGGATGGGGTTAACTTCGTACACAGCTTGCATAGTCTGTTGTCCTTGATCTGCCTGACATGAAATTTTACCGTAAACGCTGGAGTGATATTCTGTCACTCCTATTTTAACAAGGTTTTTAACAAAACTCTGATTACAACTTCATAACATCATTGGGACATGGCATAGCGTAATAGTTCCCTGGGACTTGTAATATTTAATGGTTACCTCAATAGTGGATTTATTTAACAACATTCACATAATGTGATGAATCCAGTCAAGTAATTTAGAATTGAAATATCGTTCGTGGAATAAAGTATTTTGACATATGTGTGAGTATCATTGCTTTCCGGGAATTTTTGACAATCGACGAATTTTCGTACCCAGAGCCACACTCTCATATGTGTGAGTATCATTGCTACCTCCAGACCACCGCGTCATTTGTCGAAAGCCTATGTTCTTTATATGACCTAAACCTTTTCAAACAATTAAACTGCTTTAATACACCTTCATTTGATATCTTTACTCTCTCTGATGGTTTAGGGATGGGACGTACGACGGGACTTTGAAGGTTTTAAATGAGCAATTGATAATATCGGTAACAGCAGGTGCTAATATATTGGCGTATGTCTTCAGTAGCCAGTTTGGTAATCTGTCGCGACCAATAGCTTTTGTGACGTTTATTGTATTGGCTCGTCATCATCTTTCAGGACACATGCGCAAATTATTTGTTAACGGCTCTTAGTTTGACATAACACTGATAAAGGCTTCATTGATCTTATTTGCTAGTTCGTAGTCGTTGCAATTTATGTTTGATATAGTCAAGCTTGATCGAAACCTGATCTATGATGAGCCACAGAAATGTTTAAATTCCTGCCACCATCTATGCGGCTTAGTTCCTTTTAGAGCTTTACAGAAAAGATTTTGTAATGCTGCATGGCCCCGTTTCTAAAAATTCATTTAGCGATGGCGAGTTGTTGTTTTTCTTCGCTGACGCATCGTAAACTATGCGTAGCTTTGTGCTCTCCTCGTTCTCTCTCGCCACTGGCTTCTGTGGAAGATAAAATTCTCTTCCTTGCCATTCCTGTGTACCCTCTCGATGATCCCATTATCCTCCTGTTCGTATAGTTGAGGTTTTCTCAAGCTGTTGAACTAGTTTGCTCAATCTTCCTAAGCTGCCTGCTTTATTATTTGGTAAACTGCCATAACAATCCCGCGTCTCTTGGTTTAACTGATCCTTGAAATCTTCGTAGACAGTTTCTTCTTCACTTAACTGGGTATTCAAGCCTAGTACATCCAAATCACACAACTTCTGGTAATCCTGCACCGATAATTTAGCAAACCACGTTTTGGTCAAATCGTCAATCGATATCGATAGCCTGCTTCATTGCAATAAACACACACTGTCTGGTTTAGAAATTCCTCGATTTAGTTTGCTTCTCTGAATGGAAGTCGTCCGGTTTAGAGGGGTTTCTCACCGTCCACTTGCGCAGCAGCGCCCAATGAACTGCCACTCTTGCCAATTATAATCAGTTCTTACTAAATCATTGGGAATACCTTCAAGCTTGTTGATTGTCATCCTTGCATAACCCGTAACTTCCTTTAGCTTGCCAAGTGTCTCCAGGGACTTAAATTGTCAATAAGGTCTTATAAAACGCGTGGATCTTTGCTGGTTTAACTTCTTGAATAGTTGGTAAGCTGAGGGTCCTGAGGATATTCTGAACGCATTAGTCACCTCACTGGTCTTGCTATATTTTGTTTGTAAGATGTTCTTTTCCCGCACGTATACGCTTCTGAAGTAAACGGTCTTGCATTGTTTTGGCTTTAGACTCTTTGTGACGACTATCTAACTCATTATTATTTATGCATGGCCAAAATATTGCTCATGACGTGCATGATTAGTCATGAATCGTAGATATAAAACGGACAGCGAACAAAAGATCTTTTTTGGTCGGAGTACCTCTTCGGAGTATAGCCTATATCGGGGTATTTATTTGGAGTATAACATTATCGGAGTTAATTGGAGCTATAGTCAAGAGACGATGAAGCAACGATGTAAGTTACTGAGTATATTGTAATCTGTTCTGTATTATATTAGCTGTATATAGTCTTAGCAGTCTTAATTTGTCTTATGAATATAATTGTATTTAGTTTTCACCAATTCTTCGAGTATAATAAATGTAAAGAAAATCGTAAGTTGGTTGACGCTATGTACTCCAAGCCTGGAGGCACGACCACTCTCTGCCAGCTCTCTTTCGTTTTGCAATCGCTGTTCAAATTTTTGCTGTTCATATCTCAGTTCCTCTTCAAATTGTTCGCGTTTTGTCACTGCAACCAGCTGCTCTGCGACTCTGCTTCTCACATGATCTCCCGTTCTAAAGCCGGTTTTCCACAGGAGCTTCAGAGCTCTTAACTGCAACCATCTGGAACTGACAAATTGCTCAAATACAAAGGAATAAAGTCGCTTCGCGGCTCGCGCGAAAAATATCGCTAGTGGAAAACCGGCTTTAGAACGGGAGTTCAACTTAACAATCAGCTTAACGTTCTTGGCTAGGAAACAGCGCTCCACATTCGCCTTTTTCCAATTTCAATTATTGGATTTCTACCTTCAACGGGTGAAGCTGCTTCGTTTGTAAAGCTCAATAGTTGTACTTTTGCGTTGATCAGCTTCGATGAATTTCCGTTTTTCTCGTCGTTATTCCCAAGGGGGGTGCGCCACTTGTCGGAATTTGTCCACCCATGCAGACACAAAATTACAAAATATACTAAGTATTATAATAGATAACAGCTCAGTTTCCTTCACACGCTTATATTGTTTACGAGTTCTCTCTCGTGTCCGTTTTACTACAAAAAGTTTTAAAATAGAATAATTAACTAGCTAATATCAAATCGCCCTCAGGTCGAAACTTCGAGAAGTGTTTTTGTCTATATAATATAGGTAGATTTTATACCACATTTGATGAAGTTATATCAAATGCCATAAATTATACGAATTATCCCAAACAGCGGTTAAACGATCTTCAGTGTGGTAGAAATGGAAACTAGGAGTGGTCCATCGGAATTAATCGTCTGTGGACTGTGGACTATCGGCGGAAGTATGGAATTCGGAAACAGACATTTAAAAAGGTGCACCAAACATCATTAACGATTTTGATGGTTCGGTCGGAAGCAATAGTTGTGGACATGACTGTTTCATATAGCATGGCCAGTATTTGTATTGTGCACAATGTAAATTAATGAAACATGTAAATATAAACAGGGCGTGTACGATAGTTATTGTTGATCAGAAGAAATATATATATATATGTTCGAAGCAAGTTTTGAGGGAGGGGTTATTGTGTTTCTTTTTGAAAACAGATAGTTCGCGGCTGAACGCGACAACTTCTGTAGATTTAATAGAGCTAGCAAATGCTATACCAAAATTCCGACCAAGAAACTAATTTTGAATCCGCTCTGTTTAAAGAAATGTGTAAGTATTGGAGATCGTAAAAACTAGGACAACTCCATTACACCCTGAATCAGATAGCATGATGGAAAAGTACAATCGTACATTGTAATATCAACTATGATTGTTCAAAGAACATCGAAAGAATGAGACGAACATATTCCTCTCCTGTTAATGAAATATCGAACAGCTGTACATTCATGGATAAAATCCTCCCCGGCTGAAGTTATTATGGGACATGCATGAGACACGAATCCCTGCTTTCAACTTCATAAATATCTGATTACCTGTTAGTAAAGCAATTATATAACTTACTTTTACTGTACCATCAGTTGATTCGGATTTCCACGCGATGTTGCGATAACACACGTTCATTCGTTGAGCCTGATTCTCATATTGAATCTTTGTTATTTTGTATACTGAATCTTCTTCGTCAATGACCAAAACAATACATCGCCGACCGTCGGTGACATATGAGAATCAGGCTTTATTGATGCTTTATCGCCGATGACAACATTAGACCAGAAGTGAGCATCTCCTTGCACAACTGAGCCATGTGCAAAATGCTACACGTCGTGCTGGACACGTGGGACTTTGACATTTTTGTTGGATTACGCCAAAGCACTGACTCTTGGATTTTGTTGAAAGGATTGTCGTACTTATTAATGATGTTTTTACGATGTTTGCTCTCATTCAGAAAGTCCAACATTCCGATTTAAGCTATTAGCTTTTGTCAAGTATAGCAACTGTTTTGACAACGTTTGACAAGCCACAGTGGACTTAATTCTTATCTTCTAAGACTCCAGCACCACGAGGCTAGGTTGTTCAGCTGCCAACTGCCCAGCAATCATGATAAAGCATAAATTCAAATCCACATTTCAGTAATATCGAATTAATGTTTGCCACGGAGAACTTACTTTACAGTCATTTCGTTTTAATACCCTTGAGATTTGACCATTTCCAATTGTTAAAAGTTTATTACACCGTTGATCATAATACGTGGATAGCAGCTAAATTGGAACAAAATGCTAGCCAGCATTGTTAACTTCTTATTTCATCAGCAATAGCCACCATATTTTCATCAAAAGTTGTTTAATTCTAACTTTCTTCACGGTGACGTTAATTTGGACCCACTGTATATAGGTCCAATGCTGCATGATATTATGTCAGCATTTTTATGAAGATGCTGTTCCCTTCATTCCCGTGGCCTTTCAGCAGCCTTGATTAAAAGCGAATGCTAGTGTATAGTCTTCTGGTCAAATGCACTTTCTGTTCAACGCTTCTTTCGACATTTGCCAATCTGTACAGATCTTCTTTGCTATGGTATCATCCACAAAGACTTCTTACTGTTTTCGTTCTTTCAGCAGTATAACGGTTAAGCTGTTAAAACATAACAAAAATTAGCGAAAACTTAGGCCCTGTTTACATGAGACCGGAACGAACTAAGACCGGGACGACTTCATGTCGGTCATAATATTATTTATAATAGATCTTTACATGAGACCGGGACGAAAATAACTCAGACCGGTCTGAAGTCAGACCGCCTGCTGAACCGTACCGAATGAATTCAGACCGGGATGAATTCAGACCGGCATTAATGTAAACACAAAGTTCATTTCAAACCGGTTCGAATTACTAAACAACGCATGCGCACAAAAGCAAAGTACAAAAACAAAATGGCGAGCAAAGGCAAGGGTACAAAAAAATTGAAAGACGACAGCGAAATCAAACAAAATAAACGGTGGATTTTTGATGATGAGATGACAGCATGTTTGGTAGAGTGCCTGCTAAGTTATAAAGTAGATAAGGAAGGCGAAGGAATTGATTTTGAAGGAGACTTAGTTCAGTTATATGGCGATATACGGAAGCGAATGGCTGAGAGATACGACGAAGATAATTTTGGCCCGGTAGAACACGTTGTGGCAACTACAGATGTGAGTGAGATGTCTAAGGAAGACTACAAAACATTCAAGGACAAATTTGACAAAGATCAAAAGACGATGAAAGTTGGTTATGATAGAGTTAAAGCGAAAATCAAGAAAATTCGTACCTCGTTCCAAAAGGCTGTTCTGGAAGGTACTAGATCTGGAAGTGGAAGAATTATTAAAGAACACTGGGACTCCCTTATTCAAATCTGGGGTGGTGCTCCTGGCACTGTCCCCTTAAAATATGGAGAAAGCAGTCTAACTGGTGTCCAACCTGACAGTGAAAACAATGTCAATGCAGGTTCAATTGAAGAGCATGATAAGCTTTGTGAGGATGAAGGTGACCAGCATTTGGGCACTGGTTTTGAATATACTATCCACGACGATATTGATAAACGTCTTGAGGAAAATGGTAAAGAGCAAACAAAACGAAAGTGCCCAACTGCCTTGTATGTTGATGAGAAACGAAAAAAATTGGAAAAAAATCTGAGTAGCAAACAACGGGATAATGCTATGTTACAATTAATGAAAGAAGATTTATCCCTTAAGAAGAAAAACTTGTCACTGGAGGAAAGCAGGAAAAATGCAGATTCAAATGCTTTGATGAAAATAGCAGATTCCATGCAGATGTTAAGTCAAGCTATTATGACTGGTTTCAATCATCTAGCAACAGTTAATCAGCCAAGCCAACAACAGTTTCCTCAACAATACCCAATGCCAGGAAATATCAACCAGGTTCTACCCCACCAACAAAATGGAGCTTACACTCAGCAAAGTTATAATGCCTTTCCCCCTGGTCCAATCTCAATAGTTAATCCAGGATATGAATTCCGATCAATTAGTCCTTACAGTGATTCAAGCACAACAAATAGTAATGAAGACGTATGAATCATTGTACTATAAACTTTTTATGGATTATTCTTATTATTGCAATTGTAAGTGGAAGTATACGTTTATGTTAACTTGAAGCTTGATGAATAGTTTTTTCATGTTGAGTTTAGCAAGGGATCTGTATATGTGATAGGGTTCTCAAGATGTACATAAGCACACAATGTACTTGAACAATCAAAAAACAAGCACTGATAATATGCATTGAACCACTTGATGCAATTATTCTGCCTTTTGTAAATGTATTTATTTTTTTAAATAGCATTCATATTTAGTTTGATGTAAAAGTATTTTGATGTTATTAAATGCTAAAGTTGTGAAATAATTAGTCATGTTCATTGAAATATATTTTACTTGCATTAGCAGACAGTTTGTCCAGAATTTTGGGTATTTTAGTGATTTCACTTTATCCAATGGCAAACTGTTTTGCTCTGTCTAATATCACACAATTTCACTTGTGATTGGTAAAGTCTTGCCAGCAAATAAGTTAAAAAGGGAGGAGGCTACAATCAAACCGTTCCATTACTACAATGAAAAGACAGGTACACAATGTTGAGTGGCAACACTCTACCCTTGATGAGCAAAATTATCTGGCATTAAAATTAGAATAAAAAAAAAGTGGATAAAGATGTGATTAAAATATTTGTGAAAAACACGAGTAAATATTTCAATTTTGACAACAAATATGCAGTTGGCTACCCCATTAATCATCAAGCATTCAGTTATTATTTTTTGCTGTTTTAATTGATAATGTTAACTCAACCTATATTAATCAAAGACTCGATGGAATTCCTGATAGAATATATCATGCAAATTCACATTTTTCATAAGCGAAGCTAAATCAATATACATACAGAAACAAGTTACAATAAATATTCTTTGAAGTATGCAGTGATAACATCCCTGGTGCGAACTCCTTGAGCTGTGTTGCATAAATATCTACTTTGGACAAATGAAGTAGGTTGCTGTTCAGCATCAGTTGCAATCTGCCTCTGTACTAGAGTATTGTCCACTTGAATTTTGTGTCTTTCACAGAAATTGTGCAGAACAAAGCATGCATAAATTATGGTTGGGATATCCTCTAATTTTAGGTTTATTGGTGTTGTCAGAACTTGCCACCTAGCTTTGAGTCTTCCAAAGGCACACTCAACCTTATTTCTAGCACTTCTTAACATTTGATTAAAGATAACTTGTTCATTTGTGTAGCAGGTTGAATATTCTTTCATGCAGTGGGGAAGTAGAGGATATGCAGGGTCACCCAACAAAAGTAATGGTACAGCATCTCTTCCTGGTAGCAAAAATCTGGACATTTTTGGAACAGTCCCTTCTTTTAGTGCTCTGTTGATTCCAGAATTAGCAAAAACTTTGGCATCATGTGTGCCTCCTGGCCATCTAATTTCAACATCGATAAACTTGCCAGACGAGTCACAAACAGCTTGTGCATTCAATGTATATTTCATCTTATAGGAGAAAAAACTATGACTGTTTTCATTTGGTTGCACAATTGGCACATGTGTTCCGTCAACAGCACCTAAAACCTGTGGAAAACCTAGTTCATCTTCAAAACGCTTTATAGAATCTATCAGTTCATCACCCGCTGGTATTTTTATATACTTTGGGCCTAAATGATCTTTTATCGCTTTGCAAACGTTCTTCACACATTTAGAAGTTGTTGGTACACTTATTCCAAATGCGTTGGCTGTCATCTTTAGGGTTGCTGTGTCTTTAAGGTAATAGAGGCAAACAGCTAATCGTTTTTCAGGTTCCATACCTAATCGAGGAGAATTTGGATCAAGAGTGATGAATGGTCGTAACTCATTGACAAGTTCGACAAAGTTTTCCTTACTCATACGAAAATTCTTATTCCATTCTTCAGGAGGAGCTTCCCCAGAGGTCATCCTTATCCACCAGTTATCAGTACGCCCAGGTGCAACCCACCATCGTTTCTTTTTTCTAGGTTTTCTGATTTTTCTACTATAAATCATCATTTTCGTCATATTCTGACTAATCAGAAAACTTCTTTCTCTCTCTTTACGCACATTTTTACGTCGTAAAAGCAATAAAATGAGAATATTCAACTGGTAACAAATAACTGTAGACATAAGCAGTAACACGAGATATGTACTTGTAGGCGCCATCTTGGATTGAAATAGCCCGCAAAGCAGGCGTTAACCAGCTGGGAAAATTTCGTAATTTCGTGCCGGTCCCACTGAATCCATGTAAACATGTTGGCAATTTCGATTTTCATTCCGGTTCCACTTCGTTCCGGTCTCATGTAAACAGGGCCTTACTCCTTACCCTCCGCCGTTAACAGGGGAACCTAAGTTTGAGAACTGATGAACGCAACCGAAAAAACGGACGCTCTCGCAATTTAGCGAAACGAAAAGCCATATTAACAAACAAGAAAGTACTAGTAGCATATTTCAGCATACCTTCCGCCGTTAACAGGGGACTTGTACGTTTGGAAAAATGAACGCTGCCGCAATTTAGCGAAACGAAAAGCCATATCAACAAACAAGAAAGTACAAGTAGCATATTTCAGCATACCTTCCGCCGTTAACAGGGGACTTATACGTTTGGAGAAATGAACGCTGCCGCAATTTAGCGAAACGAAAAGCCATATCAACAAACAAGAAAGTACTAGTGGCATATTTCAGCATACCTTCCGCCGTCAACAGGGGACTTATACGTTTGGAAAAATGAACGCTGCCGCAATTTAGCGAAACGAAAAGCCATATCAACAAACAAGAAAGTACTAGTAGCATATTTCAGCATACCTTCCGCCGTCAACAGGGGACTTATACGTTTGGAAAAATGAACGCTGCCGCAATTTAGCGAAACGAAAAGCCATATCAACAAACAAGAAAGTACTAGTAGCATATTTCAGCATACCTTCCGCCGTCAACAGGGGACTTATACGTTTGGAAAAATGAACGCTGCCGCAATTTAGCGAAACGAAAAGCCATATCAACAAACAAGAAAGTACTAGTAGCATATTTCAGCATACCTTCCGCCGTCAACAGGGGACTTATACGTTTGGAAAAATGAACGCTGCCGCAATTTAGCGAAACGAAAAGCCATATCAACAAACAAGAAAGTACTAGTAGCATATTTCAGCATACCTTCCGCCGTCAACAGGGGACTTATACGTTTGGAGAAATGAACGCTGCCGCAATTTAGCGAAACGAAAAGCCATATCAACAAACAAGAAAGTACTAGTAGCATATTTCAGCATACCTTCCGCCGTCAACAGGGGACTTATACGTTTGGAAAAATGAACGCTGCCGCAATTTAGCGAAACGAAAAGCCATATCAACAAACAAGAAAGTACAGTAGCATATTTCAGCATACCTTCCGCCGTTAACAGGGGACTTATACGTTTGGAGAAATGAACGCTGCCGCAATTTAGCGAAACGAAAAGCCATATCAACAAACAAGAAAGTACAGTAGCATATTTCAGCATACCTTCCGCCGTTAACAGGGGACTTATACGTTTGGAGAAATGAACGCTGCCGCAATTTAGCGAAACGAAAAGCCATATCAACAAACAAGAAAGTACAGTAGCATATTTCAGCATACCTTCCGCCGTTAACAGGGGACTTATACGTTTGGAAAATGAACGCTGCCGCAATTTAGCGAAACGAAAAGCCATATCAACAAACAAGAAAGTACTAGTGGCATATTTCAGCATACCTTCCGCCGTCAACAGGGGACTTATACGTTTGGAAAAATGAACGCTGCCGCAATTTAGCGAAACGAAAAGCCATATCAACAAACAAGAAAGTACTAGTAGCATATTTCAGCATACCTTCCGCCGTCAACAGGGGACTTATACGTTTGGAAAAATGAACGCTGCCGCAATTTAGCGAAACGAAAAGCCATATCAACAAACAAGAAAGTACTAGTAGCATATTTCAGCATACCTTCCGCCGTCAACAGGGGACTTATACGTTTGGAAAAATGAACGCTGCCGCAATTTAGCGAAACGAAAAGCCATATCAACAAACAAGAAAGTACTAGTAGCATATTTCAGCATACCTTCCGCCAACAGGGGACTTATACGTTTGGAAAAATGAACGCTGCCGCAATTTAGCGAAACGAAAAGCCATATCAACAAACAAGAAAGTACTAGTAGCATATTTCAGCATACCTTCCGCCGTCAACAGGGGACTTATACGTTTGGAAAATGAACGCTGCCGCAATTTAGCGAAACGAAAAGCCATATCAACAAACAAGAAAGTACAGTAGCATATTTCAGCATACCTTCCGCCGTTAACAGGGGACTTATACGTTTAGAAATGAACGCTGCCGCAATTTAGCGAAACGAAAAGCCATATCAACAAACAAGAAAGTACTAGTGCATATTTCAGCATACCTTCCGCCGTCAACAGGGGACTTATACGTTTGGAAAATGAACGCTGCCGCAATTTAGCGAAACGAAAAGCCATATCAACAAACAAGAAAGTACTAGTAGCATATTTCAGCATACCTTCCGCCGTCAACAGGGGACTTATACGTTTGGAAAAATGAACGCTGCCGCAATTTAGCGAAACGAAAAGCCATATCAACAAACAAGAAAGTACAGTAGCATATTTCAGCATACCTTCCGCCGTTAACAGGGGACTTATACGTTTGGAGAAATGAACGCTGCCGCAATTTAGCGAAACGAAAAGCCATATCAACAAACAAGAAAGTACTAGTAGCATATTTCAGCATACCTTCCGCCGTTAACAGGGGACTTATACGTTTGGAAAAATGAACGCTGCCGCAATTTAGCGAAACGAAAAGCCATATCAACAAACAAGAAAGTACAGTAGCATATTTCAGCATACCTTCCGCCGTTAACAGGGGACTTATACGTTTGGAGAAATGAACGCTGCCGCAATTTAGCGAAACGAAAAGCCATATCAACAAACAAGAAAGTACTAGTGCATATTTCAGCATACCTTCCGCCGTCAACAGGGGACTTATACGTTTGGAAAAATGAACGCTGCCGCAATTTAGCGAAACGAAAAGCCATATCAACAAACAAGAAAGTACTAGTGGCATATTTCAGCATACCTTCCGCCGTCAACAGGGGACTTATACGTTTGGAGAAATGAACGCTGCCGCAATTTAGCGAAACGAAAAGCCATATCAACAAACAAGAAAGTACTAGTAGCATATTTCAGCATACCTTCCGCCGTCAACAGGGGACTTATACGTTTGGAGAAATGAACGCTGCCGCAATTTAGCGAAACGAAAAGCCATATCAACAAACAAGAAAGTACTAGTGGCATATTTCAGCATACCTTCCGCCGTCAACAGGGGACTTATACGTTTGGAAAAATGAACGCTGCCGCAATTTAGCGAAACGAAAAGCCATATCAACAAACAAGAAAGTACTAGTGGCATATTTCAGCATACCTTCCGCCGTCAACAGGGGACTTATACGTTTGGAGAAATGAACGCTGCCGCAATTTAGCGAAACGAAAAGCCATATCAACAAACAAGAAAGTACAGTAGCATATTTCAGCATACCTTCCGCCGTTAACAGGGGACTTATACGTTTGGAGAAATGAACGCTGCCGCAATTTAGCGAAACGAAAAGCCATATCAACAAACAAGAAAGTACAGTAGCATATTTCAGCATACCTTCCGCCGTTAACAGGGGACTTATACGTTTGGAAAATGAACGCTGCCGCAATTTAGCGAAACGAAAAGCCATATCAACAAACAAGAAAGTACAGTAGCATATTTCAGCATACCTTCCGCCGTTAACAGGGGACTTATACGTTTGGAGAAATGAACGCTGCCGCAATTTAGCGAAACGAAAAGCCATATCAACAAACAAGAAAGTACTAGTGGCATATTTCAGCATACCTTCCGCCGTTAACAGGGGACTTATACGTTTGGAAAATGAACGCTGCCGCAATTTAGCGAAACGAAAAGCCATATCAACAAACAAGAAAGTACTAGTGGCATATTTCAGCATACCTTCCGCCGTCAACAGGGGACTTATACGTTTGGAGAAATGAACGCTGCCGCAATTTAGCGAAACGAAAAGCCATATCAACAAACAAGAAAGTACTAGTAGCATATTTCAGCATACCTTCCGCCGTCAACAGGGGACTTATACGTTTGGAGAAATGAACGCTGCCGCAATTTAGCGAAACGAAAAGCCATATCAACAAACAAGAAAGTACTAGTAGCATATTTCAGCATACCTTCCGCCGTCAACAGGGGACTTATACGTTTGGAAAATGAACGCTGCCGCAATTTAGCGAAACGAAAAGCCATATCAACAAACAAGAAAGTACAGTAGCATATTTCAGCATACCTTCCGCCGTTAACAGGGGACTTATACGTTTGGAGAAATGAACGCTGCCGCAATTTAGCGAAACGAAAAGCCATATCAACAAACAAGAAAGTACAGTAGCATATTTCAGCATACCTTCCGCCGTTAACAGGGGACTTATACGTTTGGAAAATGAACGCTGCCGCAATTTAGCGAAACGAAAAGCCATATCAACAAACAAGAAAGTACAAGTAGCATATTTCAGCATACCTTCCGCCGTTAACAGGGGACTTATACGTTTGGAGAAATGAACGCTGCCGCAATTTAGCGAAACCGAAAAGCCATATCAACAAACAAGAAAGTACTAGGCATATTTCAGCATACCTTCCGCCGTCAACAGGGGACTTATACGTTTGGAAAAATGAACGCTGCCGCAATTTAGCGAAACGAAAAGCCATATCAACAAACAAGAAAGTACTAGTGGCATATTTCAGCATACCTTCCGCCGTCAA